TATCTCAGGAAGTACTCGACCGGTTTCAATGAAATTCGGTATATAATATTTTCTTACCACCCTGATGACATGTACCAAATATGGGTGAAATCGGTTCACAATCACGCCTGAAATCTCGATTATCACTTTATCATGCGAGAGTATTAAATGTTCGGTGACACCCGAACTTAGTACTTCCTTACTTGTTTAGCTAAACTCTTCAATACATTAGCTGTGCTTCATTTGTGCTCACTTTTGTTTTTTATGTTTTTGCACTATGGCTGCTCATGGCTGGCTAATGCATAGCTTATATTTTTGTATTTCATTCAAATATGTTTAATTCCGTTAATTTCTTTAAATTAAGCTTCATTTTGTTTGCATTATTGTTAATTGTTGCATTTACTTAAACCATGAAAATACAAGCCAAAAACATGTTTAATTGTACAACATGTATACAGTACATGCAAGCATATACATACATACATACCTATGTGTAATTACATTCGTGTACTTGTAAAATATGTACAAAATTTTGCGACAAATTAACCAAAGCAATTAAAAACAATTAATGCAATTTATGTCCAAAATTCAAAATTGGTTATCACCTGCGAATTGTCTTCTTTTTTTTCTTTCTCTCTTTCTCTCCTTTTTCTCCAATAACATTGAATTGCAGATGGCTATGTGGCTGCGGCTGGTGGTCGTTACTGTTTTGCTAAAACCCAAACCAACCAATATTGAGAAGAATGTATCCTTACTACATTTACAACAATAAATATAGACTGTAATCTCCTCTCTACAAAATGCTAACACTTCCTCCACAATCACAAACTGCACGACCACCAAACAATATCGACACCAAACTTCTCCAACCCAAAATAAACACCTCATCCTAATCCTCCTGTATCCTCAAAAAGTGTGCGCGTAAAGCAATGCTAAAATATATACATATATACTCCTATTCAGTAATAGTGGTCACGCACATTCGTTACAAGATTTTTATATTTGAGAAAAAATCATATTGCTTAAGTTTTATTGCAAATACTTTTACGCACTGCGGTGTTGAGGCCACATTGAAGAACTAAATGCTACAGTGCAGGTAAAAAATAAAACGGTTGTTTAAGAAATTTGCTTTATTGATCTTTATTTTTTATACTTGCTGTGCTACTCAACGTTTTTATGTTTGATAAACATTTTTAATAGATTTTATTAGGCTGTTAGACTTTTAGAATTAGTGTAAAGTTGTTTAACCTTTTATAAATACACATATAAGTCAAATTATGTAAGCATACATATACATATAACATCTTAAAATTAGGTATACAGTTTAATAAAATTTATTATTAACGTTTTTTTTTTTTTGTACACCTTTGTCTAGTATTTAAGTTACATGGTTTTACAATAACATTTTTTTATATACATATGTAAAACTGTTTTTATAGTTTGTGTTTTTTAAATATTTGATAACTTGAGATACTTCGGATAAAAAAAAAATTAGTTACAGCTAATTTTCATTATGAGAGCGTTTATTGTAAATTTTTATATTATATTAAAATATTAAACAGTTTATTTAAAGAAATTATAAATTTAGCTAGATTAGATATTTTTTTATCAAATAAAGGCAAACATTTTTATAACTTTTTTTATTTATTTAAACTCTTAAAAATGTGTGCTTAAATTATTTTCTTTTATTATTTTAAAATTCGGTAAGAATAGGCTTAGTTATAGAGAAAATAAGAAAATTTTAAGTAAACTTATTTCAATCTTATGCAATTGCAATTATTTTAATATTCGAAAAATTAAAATAACCTATATTAACTTACATTGCATACAAATGCCATACGTAATGTAATTGTAAAACGTAGTTCTTCAGTTTCGTTTAATCTTTGCGTTTGTAGCTTTTAGTTACAAATATTGCTTTCCTTTAGTTGTAAGCCGATTTCATTGATATATTTTATTATAAAAACCAAACATATTTATTAATATTTACATATAAACATCACACATTTAATTATTTTTTTTAATTTTTTTTCTCTTTGGTTCTTTTTCATATATTTATATAATTACAGAAAGAAAGAGAAGAAAAAATGAGGACGTACGAAATGTAGCAACTCGAACAAATAAAGAGTCTTGTACAGATATGAATTTACAAAATCCAAAACACAAACACAAAAAACGCGAGGCACGACATTCAATGAGGATGAGCATGAGAAAACAAAAACTAAAGCAAAAAATAAGAATAATTTCTTAAAAGCTAAAACCATTATTGCATATAAAATTCAATCAAATTGAATTGCGATTTCGTTAGTATGTAAAAGATGTTGTTTAGACGAAGAATATAAATCAAGAAGAGAGTAAAAAACTTATTGGTAAGTAAAAAGTTTAGAAAGAATAACGAAAAACATATTTGTGTCTCTATAAAAAACGCGTTTAATGCATAATTTGAGGAGAGTTAGTAAAACGAAAGTTAAAAACTTAAATTTTAAAGTTAAGTCGAAGACAATGTAGCGCAAATATTTCTTTTTTGAAACTGATTCGCTAAAAAAAAATGAATTATCGACGCAGACCAAAATGTAAAAATATACAAAAAAAAAAAAATTCGGTGAAGATCGATGTTTTTTAGTAGGCTATAACAATCTGCCAAACATGTTTTAAGTGTGTTATGCAAACTGTTAATCGTTTAAGGGTAAAGTGCTCCCTGAAATTAAATAAAACAATACAAACGGTATCGAAGATGGATTGAAATTTGCTTTTCCGGTCGACCTTAGCTTCAAACGGTGTTATGCAGCTTGTAGCTTTAGCCAACAGTCTTTGTATTACTTTCGTGAACTTTTTTATTGCTGCAATATCATAAATTACGTGATGTGATGCTCTCACTAGCTTTCGTCAAACATACATTAAATTTATTCAGCTTCTTATGAAAAGCTGCAACATTTTTTTAATATGTGCATATTTTTCAACATTTCACTATGCATTAAACTTTCTTTCGAATTCATGTTTTTCATAATATTATTTTTAAATTAAATTTATAACCGATTTTTTGCCGTTTATTATTTCAGCTGATTTTTTATATCCACTTCCTTCGCATTCAAACACACACCAGCATATAGTACCCGTACTCGCACCCATACTCGTACTCGCACATGCATCTGCATTAATGTCCTGAAAAATGTCTTCAAGCCGTTTTGTCCATTGGCAACAAAGGCAATAGTCTCGTCGTTTTGTGAATAGACACGAACAACAAAACTATACACACACCAGCTAAAGGTATAAATATACACTAAAAAATGCTAACTTTAGATTGCCACTTAACAATAGTTTGTGTGTACATGTGTGTGCTTTCCTCTTACAATTAGATGATCGTTTGTACAGTATCTGTCAATAGTTGTGAAACGAACAAATTTTGACACACGGTTGTCCTTGTTGTCATCCTCGTTGCATACACACATACATGAAAAATACTATTACGATTAATTTATTTTACTATATGTATTTACTTATAATATCTATGTATGGAAATGTATGCTGCTAATTACTAAAAGAAGAAGATCGGGCGAAAAACTAATTATAATTTATGGCCTTGTGAATTTAATTACAAAAACATACACATACAAATATGCTAGAAGACGAGATATGAAAGCAGCGAAACAAACAAGAAAATAACACAAAAGCAAAATTACGCTATTTGTCGTATTTATATTATGTAATATTATATACATATTTACGCTATTTTAGATTTATTTATACATGCAAAAATTATATATACATAACTACTTTCGAAAAGGCAAAAAAAAAACAAAAAAAAAAACAATTATCTTTTAAAGAATATCATTATGAATGATAGAAAACCCATTAAAAATTAAGCGATCACTTGCAAGAGTTTCGAAAACAATTACATTTATGTATTTTTGTGTTAATGACAAGACAAAATTGCGGGTAAAAATAATAAATGGCAAAAATTTTCGATAATCTCAGCCACGGGCAGTCAAAACATAAGCATATTTCATGCAAAAGCAAAAAGAAAAGAAAAAAGTTGTGAAGTATGTGAAGTACACTTAAAATTACTTATTATTCATACAACTGTAGTCTACTTTTAGGCGCTTAATACTTGCATTTCAAATGTCCAGTTTTATGAGCGCACTTTATTGAGATTTCATTTCTTATTTATTAATAGAACTCAATATTATTGCTGAATTGAATTAAGTAAATATTTCGAGATTCCCAACACTCTGTTGATTTTATTTCTATAAAATATTGCATATGCAAGAAGCTTTTGGTATGCACGAAAAATTCATAATTTAATAAATTCTTGTTTCTGAGTTTTGATTTTTAACATTATTTTCTTTACGAAGTACAAATTAGAAAAGAAGATTTGTTCATTTCCACATATGTATTTATTGAGTACTCTACCGTATTAAAATAATAACGCTAATTCCACAAACTGAATTCCTTAAATAATTTAAAATATTAAATTTGCTTTGTTTAAACAATTTTTGGTTTTGTGTATGAAACACTCATTTGTTCACCGTAAACAATTAGTTTATGTTGTCGCTTTTTGTTTTTTTTTTTTCTGTTTACAAAGTTAATGCCGACTGCATTGTTTTTTAATTGTTCGTACGTTCAGTTTATCGCTTAATTGCCTTAATTTATTATATTATTCATAATTTGTAAACTCATATTTTATATATACATACATATATATATATATTACTTGCATATAATAAAAATACATTTAAACATAAATACATATATGTATGTCCACGTCTGTAGTTAGGATATTAAAATTGAAGTAAAGTAAACTTAAAGAGCTAAACGAAAAAAAAAGCGAAAATATATTATAAATAAAATAACAATTCAAAAGAAGAAAAAAACTTTTAACTTATAACGGTGCACCACTTGAAATATTTTGTAATTTTTTAGGTTCGCTCAAATTTGATGATTGAAGTAGCATGATTTTTTGCGATGCATTTTAAAGTTTGCGTTCTTTTTGTTGTTGTTGCGCTCTTAATGTTGGGATGGGTTCACTTTGGAGCTAACATTTCAGGCAGAATTAATTCCAGTTATATTTTGAATGTACTAAAAGCTGGCATGTTTATATGGATTGCTATGAGTTTAAACATATTTTTAAGTATTTAAGGCGAGGGGAAATAGTGTTCTTCTAGTGTGATACAAGCCTGAATGTATAGTAACTGCTTTCATTCCAGCAAAAGCCATTGTTACACACTATTAGTTCTTTTGTTAGGTTGCTATTGCTACTGAGTGCTTCGACTCTATATAGAAACCCCACTGCTTATCGAGTACTAACCGCCAAGTTTTCAACAAAACTCTACTTTTTAAATTTCATAAAATTTTTCATAAATTTTTTTAACTTTTTAAAAGAGGAATGTTGAATAAAGTATAATTATTAAAACGTTTTACATTATTTAAGTCAAGCTATACATTAAATTAACTTTTTTTCTTTTAATTGCATTAAAATTACTATAATAGTTAAATAATTGTTATGAAAATTATAAAAAAACAACATTAAGATTGACTTTTGTAATAATTTCCAATTATATGTAAGACACTGATTTTCTATGCTGCCAATAATTGCAACTAATTATCGCTTTAATTCGATATATTTGATTTTTCTCATAATATGAGGGCAAAAAAAATTATAAGAACATGTGAGCTGAAACTGAAAATAAGGGCTGATATACAAAACAAAAGTGAAACTAAAAAAACTATGAATATACATAAATGCTTTAATATTCAAGCAAATTAAAAAATATAGAATTGAATAATACAACAATGTGTTATATAATAAAGAAAATAAATGAGCGAAATAGAAACTTTGAAATAAAAACTTCCAAAATTAATAAATATACATTTATTTCAATAAGTTTTCAGTTGCTATGTACAATTATCAGCCTATTATTATAGTTAACTTGTCCATTGATGACGTCTACGCCGTTTCTATTGCCTCACTTAATTTACTCGAACCCTTGTGCTTTTTGTATTGCGCGCACCTCATCGTTTGAGTTCATATTAGAAAAACCGCACGGTTGCATTGTCATACCCGCCGTGCCTGAGCTTATGCTGCGCAAAACGCTGGAATATCCCGACAACTCAGCCAATGGCGCATTCACATATATGACCTGTATTAAAAAACTCCCAAGTTAACTTTCAAATTAGACCTCTTAGCATTGATTTCGTAAATAATCGTATGGTATGCTCACCTTATTATGCTCACTCTTCGGTCGCACGTCGTTTATAGTGGCACGACGACGTGACAAGTCGGCTATAATGGCCGATATGCGCTCGGACGGTGCAACAATTTCCAGCGCCATAACTGGTTCGAGCAAGCGTGTACCTACTGTGGTTAATATCTAAAAAGAAAATAAATAACGTTATTAGAAATGTGTGCGTGGAAAAAAATATAACATTTGCTCTACCTTTTGTACGCATTGCGCCGCGGCAGCCATAACAAATGAATCGGCCGTACCACGCCCTATTGTTATACTATGCAGACGTATTTGTGTATCTACCACCTGACCACCAACACGTGGACCACGTTCCAAAGCCGACAATGCACCCTTGCGTATCACATGCAGCATGCGCGGACGGATAGTATTCAAATTTGATGCATTCTCACCGGATTTATCCAAACTGCAGTATATAATATTCGTGAAGTTTTGCTGTAACAAGTATTTGGCGTGAAAATAAGAACACCTGCCTGAAAAGTTCATTTTGTTCACGCAACAGTTCTAATGTAATGGTTACGCTCTGTTTACTCCCCGCTATTTCTTTCTCCACTTGAAAGCTTTCCAGCGCTGGCTCCTCTATTGTTTCTTTGTAGGCTATTTGCAACGGACCCAAATCGACATCGATTTTGTATTCGGTAAGTATGCGAGATTTCACAATGTCCATGTGAAGCTCACCCATGCCTTGAGCGAAGATATCATAACATTAAAAGTGAAACAGAGTCTTACTAAGAAATCCTTACCGCCCAACACAGTTTGACCGGTAACAGAGTCATAGTTTACACGCAAGCTGGGATCTTCACGTTGCAATTGTTTCAATGCTGCCTCCATGGCGTTCTGTGTTGCCAAACTAGGTGGTTCGATTGAGCAAAAATATACAGCATCGGGAATTCGAGGAGCAGTGGCGAATATCTCTTTAACAAGCGTCACATCAGCGTTATCTTCGGTATCACTATCTTCAGTCATCACGTCGCTTTCAGGTAGTTTCATCGTTTTCTGCAAACGTTTTTGCGCATTTTTCAGCGATGAACCGCTAGTTGTGAGCAAATCACCTGTAACTGTGTGCTGAAATAGACTTCGTTTCCGTTGATATTTTTGACAAAAATTCAAAAAAATTGAAAATTTACCTTCAAGCCCGCACAGATGGCAACATCCCCAGCTGGTACACCGCAAATTTCACGATATTCATCCGCCAAAGGCTCATACACTTTACTCACCACTTCTGCAGTATTATGTGTGGTCACCAACCTCGAGCCCTTCTTCAATTCACCACGGAAGACACGCACCAATGTTAGCGCACCACGCTGTTTATCATGTATGATTTTGAAAACTCTGCCCACAAAGTCATCCCTAGTTAAAAAAAGTTGCAAAATTGAATAGCTTATGGAAATTTCCTTACAGAGAGTTAAACTTTATTACCCAAAACAATCGTAAAGCTGATTTCGTTCGTGTGGGGCTGGCAAATAGTCAATGATTGCATCCATTACACGCTGTACGCCCACATTTTTATATGCTGAACCCAAAAGTACTGGTACCACTTTACGTTGCGCAACAGCACGCCGTAAAGCTTGTTGTATCAATTCATTGCTGACTAGATCAAAGCCCTCATTGCTTATAACAACCTGCGCTAATTCATCATCAATACCGGAAAGCTCATCAATTAACGCATAACGTTTGTGTTGTAAATCAGCGATGTGCTTATCTAGAAGTGGAAGCGTTTTGTACTCACGACCCAAACTAGCACTATCCCAAATCAGTGCTTGTTGAGTAATTACATCGAAAATAGCTGAAATAATAAACAAAAATTATAACATTTATATGAATAGCTAAACAAATAGGAGACATCCACTTAAATTCCCCTTCTCATCCTTCAGTGTTGATTGCAAACAAACTGGCTTTACATCCAACTTTGTTGATAAATCCCTCACACAGGCGTTGAAATCTGCACCAGGGCGATCCATTTTATTCACGAATACTAATTTCGGCAAACGATGTTTCTCAGCTTGTGTCCATACAGTAATTGTCTGTGCTTCTACTCCAGATGTGCCATCTAAAACTACAACAACACCATCTACAGCATGTAATGATTGTTCCACCTCCATGGTAAAGTCTATGTGACCTGGTGTGTCTAGAAGATTTATCCTACAATACAATAAATTGTCAACTTTCATTTAAAATTATTCTCTAGACCTACTTGTGTCCCTGCCAATTGAAAGCTACCGCCGAACTACATATTGTTATACCACGCTCACGTTCCTGTGTCAGGCAATCTGTCACTGTATTACCACGATGCACCTCCCCCATCGTGCGTGTTTTACCGGCATAGAAGAGCATGCGCTCCGTTGTGGTTGTTTTGCCTAAGTATTGTGTGAGTAATTTTTTATTATCTATACATTTGTTAAAATAACTACATATTTCTCACCTGCATCGATATGCGCTAAAATGCCAATGTTTCTCAATTTCGCACTGCTATAAAAACGTTGCCATCGAGCGTGTGAGCTGATGCTTTGCAGCAAAGTAAAGCTGCGGGTTATTGTCATTTATTATATGCTAAATTTATTAATTATTTTAATTTATAAACAATTTAATCTGCATGTGTTGCATATGACACAACATATGATTATCAGCTGTTGCTTTTAGACAGCGAATTCATCTGCGGTATATTCGCTCGAGTTAAAAGAGTAAACAATCATAAAGACAAGAGCATTGCGGCAAATTCAAGGCGAATTAATTTATAAGATTGGTTACAGAGAACGTGAATTATATTTTCTGCCTGAAATATCGCGCCAATACGCAACTTTCTAAATATTTCCAGTGATTTCAAAATTGTTACGACTGAAACAGACTTTACAATTGATAGAGAAGTAGAGATTTTACAATTTTACTTCGATMTTAAATTAAATTAAAATTCGAAAAATAATTTGAAAATTAAGTCTTAATTTATAAGTTGTGAAATGAACCTTAATATATATGTATATATCCTGTAATAATTGTAGCAACTAAAATTATCAATAAAGACTTGGTCTCTGCAGATCTCTAGTATGTTTAAGACCTTAGTGAAGCAGCTGTTTATTATCGTTGCCTTCGAATTTTCAATTGACCGGCTGTAGAGAGAATTGAAAAATCACAAGTGTGATTTTTTAAAAGAATATCTTGTTTTTGCTTGCAGTGCAGTGTTTTTATAATTTCCATTTATTTTGTTATAACGCTATTTGTGAATTATTTCCACATCTAAAAAACATCATTTCACATCAAAAATGGCTGGGCGACCAAGACGTAAAGCAGCTGTTAGAGCCACACAAATAATAGAAATATCTGATTCCGATGATGATGTACATATAACAACAAGGAGAGGACGTGACAGCTCATTTTCTCCACCACCGACTAAGTCTGCACGTATAGATACTGCAGCACGTTCATTAGCTGTAAGAGAAGTCGCTACCCCAAGTACAACTTCAAGGTTTATAATTCCAAACAGTTTTATTTACGAATTAATAAAAGTCATAGTAAATATTATATTCATAGGAAACGTTGGCCCACCGAAAAAACTAAGAGTAAAATTTCACAAGCATCGGAGAAGCGTGCCAAAAAGGACAGCAAGGCAACCTCAAAATCAAAGGATAATACCAAAAATAGTGCAACAAATGAAACTGAAAATGTAGAAGTATTGCAGCAAGGAAACGAAGACCAACAAAAGGCATTGGAAGTTGAACATCAGCAAGATCCTGTAGAAACGATAACGGATGGTCAATGTCTCTCGAATGGTAACAATAAACCGGCACGCGATTCTACCACTAATACGGGTCGCAGTTCATTTTGGGGTAAGTAAAAAAATAAAAGTATATGTTTGTTATATTAAGTTTCTAAATGTGAAAAAATTCTAGCACGTCGAAAGGTTTGGCGCGTCGATGAACTGCTCGCCGAAAAAGAGAACGTTGAGCCCTGCACTGCTAAAAACATCGTACAGTTGTTAGAAAATGAGAATACCATACCATTCATTTGTCGCTATCGACGTGATTTAATTAACCACATAACGCCTGAAAGACTGCGTGATATAAAAAATTCATACACCGAAATTGTAGAGTTGCGCAAACGTGCTGAAACGATCGTCACACAATTGGAGAAAGAGCAACAAATAGGCGATGAAGTTCGTACAGAGATTTTATGCGCAAAAAGTAACGAAGAATTGGAATTTTTGGTAAGCACAAACGATCTTTAGTTGTTTTGTAGATTTACTTTAATGGTTTTTTTAGTATGCACCTTATAAACCTGCAAGCAAAGGCTCACTAGCCGAACGGGCTAAAGCTCTTGGTTTGAGTGATGCTGCGGATCGTTTGTTATTCGGTGAAGCTCCAGAAGTACGTTTGGAATCACTTATAGATCGCAATAATGCAGACTTAGAAAATGTAGAGAAAGTACTACAAGGTATTTGTCACATCATTTCGCACAATATCAGCAAACATACAGGTGTTTTGGAAGAGTTGCGACGGCTGTAAGTAAAAAAAACCGATTAAATATTCTAACTACATAGCTAATTTATTTACTTTTATTGTGTAGTCAAAAAGTGCACCGCATAGTACTTAAGTGTACCAAATCCAAAACGCCCGGCACATCAGCCGTTACCAAATCGTCAACCTCACTGAAGAGCCAATTGAATAATAATACAGTACATTCCAAGAATAAAACGGATGCGTCCAAGTATGAGACATATTACGACTTCCAACAAGATGTGCGTTATTTAAAGCCACATCAGGTGCTCGCCATCAATCGTGCAGAGAAGCAAAAGTTTCTAACTGTTAAGATAGTCACTGCTGATTATATAAAAAATGATATCAAACGGTTTACGCGAGAGCTCTTTATGAATGAAGGTCTGCGTTACCCACTGCGCAATCAGGTGTTCGAACAGGCATTCGAGGAATGCTACAGTAAAAAATGTGAGTGTGCTAATAGCGAATTTTTAAATTATTTTTATGTAAATATGCTTATATATGTTAAAAAATATTTTAATTGCATCCAGTGCAACCGCTTCTGTCCCGTCAGCTGCGCAGTGACCTGAATGAATCCGCCAAAAAAGCTGCTATCGATGTTTTTGCGCAAAACCTGAAACAATTATTGCTGCAATCGCCACTTAAAGGTGAACGCATTCTCGGCATTGATCCAGGTTTTACCAATGGTTGCAAAATGGCGTTAATCTCCGAGACAGCAGATGTTTTGGAAACTGGTGTGATGTATCCGCATGCTCGCAGCAGTAACGCTGAAGAGGTAGGCGAGCAATTAGCCAAATTACTAGCTAGACACAAGTAAGTAACAGTACAGAATTCGAATTATAAATAATAAAAAACTACAAATATATAAATTCATAACTAAATTCTAAATTTCCAAGCTGCAAAATAATCGCTGTGGGCAACGGCACGGCCTGTCGTGAGACGGAGTTTTGGCTTTCCAACCTATTTGATGTGGGCATTTTAGATAAAAATAATGTGCGGTATAGCATTGTTTCCGAGCAAGGCGCTTCCATATACTCGTGTAGCGACGTAGCCCGTCAAGAATTTCCAAATATGGATATGAATGAGATTAGTGCAGGTAATAATTACAAATTTAAAAGTAAATATGTATAAAAATAATACAAATAATATTTACTACTTTCTTGTCTGCAGTCTCCATCGCACGTCGCTTAAATGATCCGCTGAGTGAATATGTGAAAATTGAGCCACGACACATTGGTGTTGGTATGTACCAGCATGATGTGCCCGAAAAAACGTTGAACGAGGCGCTGAATGAGGTGGTTTCTGAGTGTGTAAGTTTTGTGGGTGTGGACATCAACACAGCAAGTTTGAGTGTGTTAAAGTAAGTAGGCTAGGTTTTTTTTTACCGGAATCACATGTTAATGTTGTTGTTGTTTTAGGCATGTAGCGGGCTTGAGTGAGAAGAAAGCGCAAAAAATCATTGAACATCGTTCAAGTAACGGTCCATTTCAAACGCGCAAGGATCTGTTGAAAGTAAAGTCCATTGGTGAAAAGACATTTGTACAATGTGCTGGGTGAGATATAAATTTATGTTATATAAAAAAAATTAAAACGATTCTAAACATGTGTAATTTAATCGGTGCTTGTTTTAGTAAACTTCGATTGTGTTCAATGACTTCCAATTATCTCTGCGAAAATGACACATTTTCTCAGTACCCGTCAAAATGTTTTCTACTTTCATTCATTTCAGTTTTATACGCATCGAACCTTTGAGTGTGGGTGGAAAAATTGAAAATCTGTTGGACTGCACTTGGGTGCATCCAGAGAGTTATGCTGTTGCCAAAAAGTAAATAATTTCTCCATCATAACCTTCACTACAAGTATGATTTTTTTTTTGTTTTTTGTTAATTTTTGTTCACAGAGTTATAAGCAAATGCAATTTGTTACTCAAAGACATCGGGAGTACACCGTTTATCTGCAAAGTTAAAGCATACGCCTTGCAATGCGATATGGAAGAGCTGGCAGATAATTTTCAAATACCAAAAGAGCGTGTAAGTTGAACTTCCATTAAAAATATTGCCAACATTCATATATATTTTATGTTTATTTTCTATAAAATTATAAAACATCATTTAATATTAAAATTCTAGGTCGATGTTGTGTTAATGGCCTTACAACGCGAGCTCACGCAAGATTATCGTGCAGAGTTCGCCAAACGTCCGCTTTTCAAGCAAGGTTTAACGCGTATAACTGAGCTCAGTGAGGGCGATGTTCTGACGGGTAATATTATTGCTAATTATTAATTTGTTGTTAATACAAATATTAATGCATATTTAAATTAATGTTCAGGTGCCGTCTCAAACATCACACACTTTGGCGCTTTTGTTGATATTGGCGTTGAATGTAATGCGCTTATACACATAAGTAAAATGAAGAATAGAGAGCTAAGTGTAGGCGATCGGGTAACTGTATCAATTATTCAAATTGATATACCGCGCAAACGGATTGGTGTACGTCTGGAAGATACGATAAAGGAGACCGACACTTCGTTTTCTTTGACCTAATTTAGATTAAAGCTTAGAATTTGGTTACTAGAATATAAATATTCTTATATTACATACATATTTTCCTTTACTTATACAAATGTATATTTTTCGGTCATGTTTATACATTAAGGATAAAATGCTCACCCATAACACAAATATGAAATTTATAGAAAATAATATATTATTTCAAAGACATACTATCACCCGCTAGTTGCAAGAGTGCCAGTGTGTCCGGTCTGTCACGTTACTCTGTTACTTCTCTCAGATTTTGAGGTACCTATCATATTTAATTTTTGCACACGTCCTTTTCTTCACAAGAAGCTAAGCGTTTGTCGGAAACGCTGATATGGGACCCTTATAAGAAATAACTGCCATACAAACTGATTGATCAAAATGAAGTTCTTGTATGGAAAACTTTTTTATTTGGCAAGATATCTGCGCGAAATTTGGGAACAGTTAATGTGTAAGTACACAAGTGTGCTACAACCTTCGAACATATTGTGACCAGGATAACAAATAGTTGTCATACAAACTGAAAAAAGAAAACCAATTATTCATCAATCTTGTATTCTAATTTCTAAAAAATACAAGATTTCCCTAGGAATTTTCGACTAACCTTATCCATAATAAACTACCTCTTGTTGTTGTAGCTCTTGTAGCATCAGAAAATCGAAACATGCGAAACCTTTTCCGTTAACCCGTTGCATATTAGTTTTTAATCTTCAATTTATAAATTAAATAAATTATATTTTACGTTGATAAAAAGAAGTCGTAATAATAACAATGATGAACAYTGTAAGGAATTGATAATGAAAAGCACTGTAATAAAATATTGTCGCAAGTGCGCGAACATAGTAGTTTGTTCAAAATCAATTAGTGAAAACAATTATTGGAAAATATAGGAAACTCGGGCGAAAGCAGTTTTCAAATTAGATTTTCGTTCAAAAAAACTCATTGCAACCAATAAATTTCAAGTTTTATAACAATTAATTAATGCCATTGTTAATTAATAAAACGTATAACAATAAAAAAAGACAATAATAACAACAATTACACCATATTCAAATAGAGCAACTATTTGTTATATGTATTGTGCGCAAGCTTGCAGTACCGTTATAACCATTGCCATTTAACAACAGCAATTACAAGCCTGTAAAAAAAAAATAACTTTTATGTCGAAAAAGCAAAAATAACAACAAGCAACTACTAACTAAAACCAAAAACTAAACAAACAAGCAAAATTCAAGCAAATAGAAACCAAAAATATCACCAAGAATAAGAACCCATCGTTTGAAAAGCGGCAGCAAACACAGGAACAGAGGAGTAACCAACCAGACGTCAAGCGTATCTCGGTGCGGCATTGGTCTCGAGCATTTTATAGACTTTAATAGAAATATTAAGATTTCTAAAATCGCAAGAGCAGACTCCATACATACATATACATAGTAGTCAAACGAAATGGCATTTTCAACACAAAAGGAATTTTTCCATGTCCCCTTTATGAACGAGACGGTCGACTATGAGTGCCGGAAGGCTTGTGTCAAGCTGAAGACCTATCAATCGACCATCGATCATCGCTCTTGGGCCATGGATGAATCGTTGCAATCGAGGTTCCTTTCAGATTTGATCACCTGCCAGACGCCGGTAGGTCAAATCTTGAGGTCAACTAAATTATTGCAAAGTAATGTTAGGCCGCCGAATTCCCCAATAGCGATACAATTTCGTAAATATTTTTATGTTGATGTAATAGCTATATTTTTAATGAATTTAATTGATAGAGCGCGTAAATAGTTCTTGAAGATGAGTAAAATATATTTGTTCTTTGTAATATTTGTACAAAAATTGAGTATTATTTATAAAATACAAAATTTGAAGTTTTCAGTAGCAAGAAAATTAGTTTGTGCCAGAAAGGCACTGAGTAATGCTAAGCGTTTTTGGGGAATTCGCATGTTGTTTCTAGTACTTCAAAAGTTTTCATGTTCGCGTCAATTAAAATCGTCTTCTTTTTTAGGTTGGCGGCTACGGTGATGGTGATGGTGACGATGAGTATGATTATGATTACGATGATGATGAAACGGGCGAAGTTGCACGAGCTCCTGGCCGTAATCTTGGCTCTGGACGTGGGGGTGGTCGGGCAGGTGGACGCCCTAAAAGAGGCGTCGGTAGGCCAGTTCACACTGACAGCGGTTATATCGGCGAACCGGGTATGAGAGGTGATGAGGGAGCGGGACCTAGTGGACGTGGACGAATAGGTGGCCCCGGAGGTGGTGGTCCTAGAGGCGGTGGCGGTCCTAGAGGTGGTGGGCCTGGAGGTAGTGGTCCTGGAGGTAGTGGTCCTGGAGGTGGAGGTCCCGTTAGTGGTGCTGGAGGGTTTTCCGGTGGTGGGGGCCTAGGAGGCGGTGGGCCCAGTGGTGCATTTCCGGGGGGCGCTGATGGGAGAGGAGCTAAGCTTGGTCAAAGTGGTCTTCTTACCACTGATAGCGTAATTGCTTGCGCCAGCGAACAAATGGGAAGAATGCAGGAATTGTTACTGCACAAAAAGAATCTCGAAAAACAATTAGAGGTATCGAACGAACGCTTAAAAGTATCCAACATGGAGAATGATAAGATCAAAGAAATTATGAATAATAAATTCGATAGCAATCATTCGAAAGATTTCTACAACAAAATACAGAAGCTCACATCAGGCGGCAAAATCAATAAGGGCGAGGAAAATGAACTTTTACAGATTTACAATAAATTCGAAGATATGAGCAAGGCATACGAAATATTACAAGCAGAAAATGCCTATCTAAAGCGACTAATGGATAAATTGTCTTTACGCGCATCCTTCGAAGCACTAAAAGTAGAACCGGAAAAGAGCAACGATATTGCATTCCTACAGAACGAGGTGAACAAGTTGCGTAAGGAGCTCTCCATATTGCGCAAATTTGAAGATGATAAACTGAAGGGCACCATGGATAGCAATCGGAATAAAATGTCTGATCATGATGCTGAGACGCTCAAGGCGATTGTTAAGGAGCGTAATGCTTTGCGTGAGAAATGCAAAACCTTCAAAGATCTTGAGGCAAAGGTTTACGAGCTGCAGAAGATAGCAAAGGAAGCCGATAAAATGTCTGATAGTCTATCGAATGATTTGGATAGTCAATCTAAACATATAAATAAAATGGAACATGAGATGAAGCAGATGCAGGATTACTACGAAGATCAAATAGCCAATCATAAGTTTAATGAAGACATACTTAGGGTAAGTGTACACTAAATAGTTTATAAATAGCGCCTTCTAGAATTTCGCAACTAGATTATAGAATTTAACCTAGAAAAAATGTTAATTTCGACTGAACTTTATAGCATAAAAAGATATTTATCTTGCCTTCAATCGATCAGTTTGAGCGGCAGGTATGTGTATATGTCTCAGATGTTCCATCCGTTGATTACAATTTTCAATGACTCGTTCGGGCATTTCGACTGGTAACTGGCGCAAAACGTGAAGTTATCTGTTCACCGAAGTCTTGTCTCAATATCTCAATTGATTGATGCGACTTGTGGGAAGTGGCTCGATCTTGTTAAAACGAAATTATCACCGAGATCACAATCTTAAATTTTAGGCATCAAATAGTCATTTACCATGACGCGATAACGGTCTCCATTGCCGGTTGCGTTCTTATCGGCATGATTTTCGAAGAAATATGGAGCGATGATTCTACCGGCCCACAAACCACACCAAACAGTTGTTTTATCTGGATGAATCTCTTCAGGTTGCTATTCGTCCCAAAATGCGACAATTTCGCTTGTTTACATGGTCATTGGCCAGAAATGGGCCTCAACGCTGAACAATATTTGGTTCGAAAACGTTGGACCTTTTTGGAAATTTTCAAAAGCCCATAGAGCGAAGCGATGTAGCTTGGGAAGATCGAGTAGCATCAGTTCTTGTACAAACTGTATTTTGGACGCTTTCAATTTAAGATCTCGACATAAAATGCGTCAAGTCGTTCCATACATCAATCCGAGCCGCATCGACTCTCCAAAAAGTTTTTTTTTCCTTTTAAGTCTCTAGAAGATTTTTATCCAAAATAATGTAAATGTAAAATATAAATTAATGTAGCTCATTACCGATTATCTTTCATGTTTGGCTTAAGGCTTAACATATGTATCTTAAATTGCCAATCTGTCAGTTTAGTAGCTTTTTCGGTGATCGGAGCAATCGTGTGATTTTATCAACACGCTATGCTCGCAATGCGAATTATCTCATTGAAAATGTAATTTTCTGTAACCATTTGGTTTTGACTAGTCAGGAACCGGCATTTTCATCGGTATATTTTAAGTAGAGATTTCTTTTTGTCCTGTTTAATAACGTCGGAAATTGGATTTTCTCAATTATACATAGTTTATTTCATTAATTATATATATATTCATTACTATAAATTATTTTCGTACGTTTCGTTCGTTTAAATAATTCTCAATTTCTCTATCACAGTGTCAACTCAAAGAAATGAAAGAAGAGCTAATTCGTGCTCGCTGCAGTGCACAAAAAGCTGAGTGCTTGCAAATGGAGATCAGCAGTTTGCGGAACGAGCTGATGCGTCGTGAGCTGGCTCTGAATGACTACAACTGTCAGTACAACCAATTGATGGTAAGTTATCTAACGGTTAAATACATCATGCTCATTTAGATTAAAAATTAAGTAAGCGTTGAAATTTATTTTCGTTTCTTTTCGATTTCATAGTACAAGGCCAAAAAGTTTAGAAACAGTGGCTATTGTATGTGCAATCGAAACCCAGATGCTGGCCATGATAACGATAATTGTTTGTCGGATAACTGACTGCAATGCGAATTAGCCAATCAAATGCATATAAATCTACATATGCACATATGTATATACTTCTTCTATAAACAGTTGTACGTTTATGCCCATATCTACTACTGCTTTAAAGAATACGTATACATATATAAATATTTTTTTTTATTATTATTCACTGTATATTAATAATAAATTTTGTATAAGCTCTGTTTTTTTCTTGTTTATAATTTATGAAATTTTGTAAGTTGAATAAATCGATTGTTGAAAAATATATACACATACATTTTTAAGCAAAACCATTCATTTACAATTTTTGTAAAGCGTTGAATTCAAGCTCTTGAAAGCACAGTTTACGCTTATTTCTTTTAGTCTTCGTTCATAATTATATTTTAAATAAAATTCACGCCAATGCCGCATTTGTGTCTTGATGACATCCGAAAAATATTTCTGGTCATTTCATAATGGTTAAGGAAACTTAGTGAAAGGTCTCATTTCATAAGCTCTAAATAGCTATAAGTCTCCTAAACACAATAGTTATGATCTGTATCTCCTTTTAAAACCGAGTTATCCGTATAAGGTTAAGCGATAGGAGTTTGAGGAAAACACCCAAGGGCTCTCATTTGTCCCGCAGCAAAAATCTTTTTATTTCGAGTGCTTTGTGATTAGTATTCACAAAGAAAATGGCTCGTGTCACTTTCATGGCTGGCTCTGGAACGGATTTGCAATTCACCCGCGTTAATATCGCATTCATAGGCCAAAATTCCCCCCTCTTACTAAAAATAAGAAAAGAAAAAATAACATACATACGYATGTACATACATACATATGTATGCAAAGCTTTAATTGCGCTGGACTTGCTCGTATTTACAGCGGCAGTTTGTAGAAATGGGCTTGAAGAGCAAGTGCAGGAAAAGAGTTCGTTTTCGACAAGTTTGCTCTTCCTGCATACGCATTGACCGACATACATGGCCAGCAGACTCGGATACAGAAACGGAAGTAATAGCTGATAAATAAAATAAAGAAGGAGAACATATTATGTAAAACAAATGCTATAGAAAATACCAAAACAAAAGCGAAGGCCACTGATGACACTGATACAGAGTACTGAATATATTGTATATATATATATATATATTTTATTTTCTCCTTCGCGTTTTCCGCTGCCCGTTTGTCTTGACCTAATGCACAGAATGTCATTGATGAGCTTCAGCATAACGCCATACAAAATCTGCACGATACCCAAACGCAAACCTGCACGGATTATATGGACGAGTTGACCTTCTTCGCGCGCGCCACTTTGCACGAAATCAAGAAAGAGATAAAGAAACGTGGCGGTGACGGCGACAAAATCGGCGGTCCAGCTATTACCGATAACCTCAGTCCCGATGAGTGTTGCGCTGAGTTGCAGCGGTTACACGATATGGTCAAACAGTTGACAAGACAAAATGAATATTTGCAAAATAATGTACAGAAAGCAGCGGAAGATTATTGTGCAGAGGCGTTTACGAAATTGAGAGAAATGGAGAAGAAATACAAGAAATCCCAAGACGATATATCATATTTGAAAAGAGATAAGGATGCCCTGAATATGCATGCTATGGATAAACTGAATGAGTTCTCTGATCGTGTGGATAAAATGGGTACAGATGTGGGTAAGGCCGTTAAAGATACCGCTTATATGGATAAGGACTTGAAAGAATCTATGAAATTGGTGAAGGAAATAAGTGACATACAGTTGAAAAATGTTCAATTATCGAATGCCGTGAATGCGCTTAATACACGCGATGATCAGAGCATTATAGACGATTTACGACGGCAATTGCTCGAAGAACAAGCAAAACATAAGAAGTGCCAGGAAGAAAATAAAAAGCTAAGAGAACTGCTTGAAAAACGAGGCATTGATCCAGATTTAGCAACTAAGGATGTCATGAGAGAAGTAGCGGATGTGCAGAAGGGTGGCCCTGCCACCGACCTAGACGTTCAAAGGAGTGGTCCTTTCATTGGTGCAGACGGTCAAAAAGGTAAACCTTCTGGTGCAGGTCAATTAGCAGGGCCTGATAAAGGCGGTCCATTCATTGGCAAAGAAGATGAAAAGAAACTTGAGAGCGGCGGCGGTGAAGTGGTTGGTGCTGATGTTGTAAGAAAAGGTGGTCCTGGCGAAAGTGCAGTTGTTGGACCGGAAGCTGGTAAAAAAGATGGTCCTGACGTGGCTGATATAAGTGGTCCAAGTGCTGTAAGAAAAGACGCGCTTGATACTGCTGGCGTAAGAGGTCCAGATGCTATTAAAGCACCAACGCCTGGTGGCGGGCCTGAAGCTACGCAACCGGTTGCATCCGGCGCCGTTCCCGGCCCAGCTGCCGCCAAAGCAATTGGTCCTGCTGAGCGTGGCCCTGGAGCAGGTGGACCTGTTACGGGGGGTCCTGGTGCAGGTAACCCTGCCGTGGGTGGTCCTAGTCCTGTTGGTCTTGCTGCGGGTGGACCTCCAAAAGGTGCGCTAATTGCAGGCGGTCCTGGAATTGGTGGTGCGCCTGCCGGTAATCCTGGTGCAGATCCCGGTACAAGTGGTCAGCCTTCTGGTGGCCCAGGCACAGCAGCCACTACAGGTGGTACAGGTTACGCTACAAGTGGTCCCGGTGCAGTACCCGCCTCAGGTGGTCCGGCTGCTGGTGTTCCATCTACCGCTGGTCCTGGTGCAGGTGGCCCTATTGAGGGTGGTCCTGCTGCGGGAGGGCCTGGTCCAATTGGACCTGCTGCGGGGGGACCTGTTGCAGGTAAACCGGCTGCTGATCGTCCTGGTGCAGGTCCCGGCAGAGTTGGTCCAGCTGCCGGGGACCCAGGGACAGGAGACACTACAGGCGTTCCCGGTACAGATGGTCCGACTGGTGGGGGCTCAGGGACAGGCCCCACTACAGGTGGTCCTAAAGCAGCCCCTTCAGTAGGTGGTCCTGCTGCACGCGGTCCTGGTTTAAGTGCTCCTACTGCGGGTGGTCCTGGTGCCGGTGGTCCTGGTGCCGGTGGCCCGTCTGCCGGTGGCCCGTCTGCCGGTGGCCCGTCTGCCGGTGGCCCGGCTGCTGGTGGACCTGCTGCTGGTGGTCCTGCTGCTGGTGGTCCTGCTGCTGGTGGTCCTGCTGCTGGTGGTCCTGCTGCAGGCGATCCTGGTGCAATTGGTCCGGCTGCGAGACGTCCGGGTGCCGCTGGCCCCACTGGGGATGGTCCTGCTACGGGCGGCCCTGGCGCAGTTGGCCCTGCTGCTGGTATTCCTGGAGCAGGTGGCCCAGCTGCAGGTGATCCTGCTGCTGGTGGTCCTGCTGCTGGTGGTCCTGCTGCTGGCGGTCCTGCTGCTGGCGGTCCTGGTGCATTTGGTCTTCCTGCAGGCGGTCCGAGTGCTGCTGGTCCCACTGGGGGTGGTCCTGGTGCAGTTGGTCCTGCTGTGGGCAGTCCGGGTGCTGCTGGCCCCACTGGGGGCGGTCCTGGCGCAGTTGGCCCTGCTGCTGGTGTTCCTGGTGCTGGTGGCCCTACTGTTAGTATTCCTGGTGCAGGTGGCCCAGCTGCGAGTGGTGCAGTTCGAAGAGGTGAACCGGTTGTCGCTGAAGGTGGTGCGCCTGCAGGATATACAGGAGCCATTGGTCTTGGAGGCGCTGATCAAACACGTGGTCCTGGAGAACCGGATCGAAGTGGTCCAGGCTTAGATAAAATTGGTGGTGCAGGTCCCGTAGGCGATAGCTCCGCAATCGGTGACGGAGAAAGTGGTGGTAGAACTGACATTAAACCTGGAAAGGGAGAAGGTATTGGTGGCGGTGTTCCTGGTAGAGGACCTATTGGTCGAGGTGCACCCACTTCTGGTGGAGGCAAAAGTCGTAGAGGAAAAGGCGCGGCCGCATCAGCAGATTCAGATGCATTCCAACAATTTATCGACACTAATGCCAACACAATGATTTCGAATATAAGGGCAGGCAGTGCACTCGAAAAGGAATTACGTGCGATTCTGAATTCCTTCATGATGGAATGTGGTTTCTGCTTCTGCAAAAGTTTAGTGCCGAAAAGTAAATTTTACGCACTTTGCCATAAACTTCTGCACAATGGCATTCAGTGCATGTCTTTCCGCGAATTGGCATACATGCATAGAAAGATATTTATGGCCGCTGACAAGTTGCATCCAGGATGTCTATTGAACATGATATTAACCGAACTGGGCTTCAAGGATGGCGAGGGTCTTAAGTGTTGCCATTGCAAAAACGCTCTCTGTTGCAGCAACTCCGAGGAAATGCTCAAAGAAAAGGGTGGGTAATAAATGTTCTTTTAGTGTTGTTGCAGTAGACGATATTTTACGAGTAATTGTAATTTTTTATATAGTTAGCAAGTTGGAGCGTGATATTGAAATGGCAAAGGAATATTTGGACAGTTTGAAAGGGCATCCAAAAACGCCGAAAAATCCCTATACCTCAACTGGAAAGACATACAGAAACATGGAAGATAACTATTCAGAAGCCGTAGAAGAGTAAGCATATTTTTTGATATTGTATATGTATTTTATCCGTTATTTCCCAAGTTTATTGCTCTAACACATATTTGCAAACGCCCGCTGAAGTTTCATTTTTTGCCCTAAAAATGAAAATCCAACGTAAATTTTTTTATTTTCAATTTAAACCGTGGTTAAATCATATTTCTTTTTCCATGTATATATCCATAGCAAAAAAACATTTCTTTAAAAGTATATTGTTGCTCATACGACATGGTGTACTATATGCTTACATTAGATTTGAAGCATAACATTGACTGCGTGTAACTCTAAAAGGAACGTTTTATGAAAAAATTTGCAGAGAGGAAAATTTTGTATTATAAGCAGGGGTTTTATTACAATTTATTTGGAAAATAACGGATCCACTAATGCATATGTATAAATATGAACAAACGGCACACTTTTTAGGCTTCTAACATGTCGAGAAACAAGACCTGCTTTGTCCAGAACACACAGCAAACAAATGAAGACTCTTAAGGTGGGCAGTTCATTTAATTTTAGTGTCATCTAATCTCTTGTATTTAAAATGTTTGACCTTTCATTTCTATTCCTTTATAGGCGCGCATATTGAAATGCTCCGAAATGCTGCGATGATTATTTTACGTAAACGACGTAACGGTCAATTTCTTTGTTGTGAGCGTACGTTTGAATTGAAAACATCCAAACATACTTTGCTGCAATATCTATTTCTTAGTTTATTTTTATATTTATTCTACCGATTAAGGTTGATTTAAGTTTTTTTTTTTGCATTTTGTGGCAAATGGCATTCTAACCACAAAGAAATTATGTGAATGAAACATATTTGTTCGACAAGAGGCATGAATTGTCTTTGTTTAAAACAATTTTATTAATTCACCAACTGAGAGCATCTTTGGAGAATTAACAGAATTATTTTTTACTAAGTTTGCAATGATCAGACATGATACAGACTTTATCAATGAATGGCCGCCACGTTCACGCATATGTATGTATACATAATTTAGAGGGTTTTCCGAAACAATAATTAAAAAATTTAAATAAACAAATATATTATACTTATATTTTAACGAAATAGTGATAATTATTTTAAACACGTTAATGACAAATAACACAAAAAATTTATAGCTCCAGCAAATCACAGCTATCGAAATTCCAATTCATTTGAAAGAATTAGCGCGGAAACTAGCCTAGGCCGTGCAATTCAAAGACTTTACGTAAGAAAGGGATGAAGGATCACACGTACACAACAGTTTCGGCTCGAATTGTCAATTGTGGATATTTAATTGGTGATTTCACCAATAGGTTGCTTGAAGAGGCTGTTCTCATTATTGGGCGGAACTTACGCTTTGATCAAATACAGCATTTTCCCCGCAATAATTTAGCTCGGACATGAACCATATGAAATTTGACATTTCAGTTTGATGGCAACGCCTCTTACGTCACCCAATTGGCAGTTTTTAATTTTTTTCTTTTGGAATTGTTAAATTAATTTTCCAGCTGTCTTTGTGGGTGTAGTAGACTGGCATTTGGAAAAGGCAAAATAATTATTTTGAGCGTTGTTCGTAGATGTGTGTGTCGTGTAAACATTAAGAAGAAAAAGGTGGTTTGGCTAAGAATTTGTGCGCAAAGCGGAGCGGCGACGAACGTGCGCGCCAATTTGTTTATAATAAAACATTTTAAGAAGGAATTTCATTTGCATTGTATTGTTGGACACAAACGGCAGATTGTATGTACCTTGGTGGCTAGCTGATTACTCGTTGGATTGTATAGACATCGGTAACAAAAGATACAAAACAAAAAATTCTACAGGGTGTGGTTGTTGTGCAGTGGTCGATTATTCAAAAGATGAAATGAAATTGATTAAAAAATGTGTTGTATGTATATTTATGGTGTATCCATTGTGTTGGTGAATTGCAAAACGAATACGCATAAAACATATTGTAAATTAATTTATGCGAAACGCGAACGAAATTGAGGAATTTATGCAAATTTTGGTGATACACAGTTTTTAATGTTGTTGACAGTGACGGCAAGGTGGAAATCAAGCGATACCGGAGCGTTTATATACATGTTACATTCATAATAAAAATCTAAGAACTAAAACAAATGCAATCAGCTATTTAGTTGTGTTCCATCATTGTGAGGAAGGACCAATACAGAATTAGTGACGTTGACAATCGCGACGTCAATGCCAACGTCGTCGTCTGCGTCGCTTTAAGTCTGTTGCACTTTACCAAGAGCAGGTGTATACAGCGCCAATAGCCGACGTTGGTGTATGACCGGCTGAAATGAAAAAAAGCAAAACGCCGCTGCAACAATAACAATATCGACATCATGTCGCGGCTTGCTGATTATTTCGTTATTGTTGGCTATGATAACGATAAAGAACGTGAGTAATTTGTAATTCTTTCTATATATACATTTCTGCATACATATTTGAGTATTTGCATATAATAAGAAGATAAATTATATACATACATACATATTTATATGTAATTTAATTTGCTATAGTACTGCTTCTATTTTTTTTTATTTGACGAATTAAAAAAAATCAGAACCCATAAGTAATTTACAATTTATGATTGATAAATTCTAGGGACTGCTGCTGGTAACATACACATGTCATGTGGCAAGATAGTGCAGCGTTTTCCGGAAAAGGACTGGCCGGATACTCCATTTATCGAAGGCATAGAGTGGGTACGTTTGTAAATGAATGTTAACATATTCAAATGAATTATTTTATGTGTTTAAGTATGAGCTCATAAAAACATAAGCAACAAAAGGCCTGGCTGTCTAGTATGTATCTAACATTTTTCAAACAATTATAACATATTACTATGTTATTTCACTCATTTGATTATGCTATTATGTAAAGTATCCAAAATAGAAAGTACTCTACAAGTTTGATTCTGATAAGTTTGTTTGTTTGCATATGAAATAGTTTTGTCAACCACTTGGCTGGGGTTTGTCGTACGATAAGCAAGAACCAAAATTTTTCACTTCCGTACTTACTGATATCGATGCAAATAAGCATTACTGTGCCTGTCTTAGCTTCCATGAAACATTGGCCATCACACTTAATAAAGTCATTGATGAAGAAGATGAGGCAACTGCTACCGTCAGCAGCATTGGTGGTTCCAAATTTCAACCTGTGATTACGGGCAGCACTAACGGCGGTGGAAGTGCTAATAATAGCATAATATCTCATCACAGCGTTATGTATGCGCCCAAATGTTTGGTGCTAATATCACGGCTCGATTATGGAGATACATTTAAGGTAATTCTAATTAGAATAATTTCAAATTATCAGTAAATATATTTTATTATATAAACAAACTGATCTAAATGTAATTTATTGTTTACAGAACTGTCTAGGCACTATTTACACAGTATACATTGAGAATCTGCCCTACGCATTAGAAAATCTCATTGGTAATATACTTGGCTGTATACAGGTGCCACCGCCAGGCGGTCCGCAAGTACGCTTCTCCATAGGAGCGGGCGATAAGCAATCGCTACAGCCGCCTCAGTCGCCGTCGTTACCAGTGACGGGTACAGCTGTTTACTTTGTTTTTAAGCAATTAGGTATGCAGCTATTCAAATATATACTAAAAAGCACACAAACATATATATTATGTACATATGTGCTTTCTTGTGTGGTAAATTTTATAATTTATTCTTATTAATTATTATTATTATTTTCAATATGACGCATTTCAATGCAATCCATCGAAAAATGTGATATTTACACCTCTTAACCACAACATCGACCGTTTTTACATATGGAATCACTGGTGTCGGGTATCTGCTTTGCTAATATGTATAATGTCGCGGTTAGGTATTAAAAATGTACTTATACTGCTGTGCGCGGTTATGACGGAGAATAAAATTCTATTCCATTCAAAAAGCTATTCACATTTGACTGAAAGCTGCAAGGCTCTGGTATCATTGATGTATCCATTCAGGTAAATAAATTTGATATGAGTTCTTTCAATTTACCTGTCTGTATTTATTTTCAATATATCATTCTATGTAAACAATATGCTATAATATAGTACGTAATTCTTAATATTTTCTTCAATATAGATACACGCACGTGTACATTCCGATATTGCCGGCACCGTTAACCGAAGTTCTCTCCACACCAACCCCCTTTATAATGGGCATACACAGTTCATTAGTCAGCGAGATCACCGATCTGCTGGATGTTATAGTCGTAGACCTAGACGGAGGCATGGTGACGATACCAGAATCATTGTCACCACCAGTGCCCATACTGCCATCACCACTGTGGGAACAGACTCAAGAGCTGCTTACAATGATTCTATTTCCTCATCTTTCACAGGCTGATTTGGCATTTCCATCGCTTGAGAAACCAACTAATTATCCGAAGTCAGATGCCATAATAGATAAGGAGTTGCGTGCTATTTTCATGCGCCTCTTTGCACAATTACTGCAAGGGTAAAAATAGAATATGCCTGTATACTCAAAAAAATTAAATTTAATATTTTTCATTGCTGTTTATTTTTACAGATACCGCTCATGTCTGACTATTATACGCATACATCCTAAACCGGTGATAACTTTTCACAAGGCCGGCTTTTTGGGTGCACGTGATCTGATAGAAAGTGAATTTTTGTTTCGCGTTTTGGACAGCATGTTCTTTACCACCTTCGTGAATGAACGTGGACCACCGTGGCGTTCTGCCGATGCTTGGGATGAATTATACAGCTCTATGAATGAGATTTTGAAGAGCGAGGCGCAAAATAAGAGCTTAGTAAGTTGCCTAAAAATTTCGATTAATTTTTGTACAACTCACCATATTACACATAATCATAATTTCTTCCAGGTTCCAATACACATACAAGAGTTGGGAAAAACACTATACGAAAACGAGTGTCCAAGTCAACAGGTTTACGCACAGAAAGTACTCCGCCCGCCGGATGGCTCTTTCCATCGTATACACCAGCCAGCATTTCCACGTATTAGCAGCGAAAAAGTGGAGCTGATTATAAATGATGGCATGCGCAAGAATTGCATTTCGCATCGTTTAACGGTATTGCGCAATCAAATGCGCATCATCCCCATGGGTCCGCGCTTACCCGAAGTGCTAGATGTGCGCCCAGCCATCTTAAATTCCGCACGCCGACTCGAGGTATTTGCACATTATATAACACGTATATATTAAAAAAAAAAATTTTTTTCTTTGAAGGTGCTAAAAACTTGTGTCGCTTATATTTTTGAAAATAAAATCGCCGATGCGCGCAAACTAGTGCCCGCTGTGATGCGCACACTCAAACACCGTGATGCACGTCTAATACTCTGTCGTGAACTATTCGGCTATGTGCATGGCAATAAGGCGATACTCGACCATCAACAGTTCGACTTGGTGATTAAGTGAGTTCTTAACGAAATATGATTCGAATTTATAAATATAAAAGTATATATATTAAATATCATATTAACATTAATCACAACTGACAGATTTATGAATAAAACAATACAAAATTCCACGGGTATTGATGAGTACACCGTTGCGGCGGCACTATTGCCCATGTCCACTATCTTTTGCCGCAAGCTTTCAACGGGTATAGTACAATTTGCCTACACCTGCATACAGGACCATCCCATATGGAAGAACTTGCAATTCTGGGAGTCTACTTTCTATCAGGATGTGCAGACACAGATTAAAGCTTTGTACATGCAACGACGGCGACAAATTGAAAATAATAAGGAATCCAATATTGTATTGGACGATGTGCCGCTGGAAGAGCCAACTGCGCTTGAGATAACAGCCGAACAAATGCGTAAAAGTCCAACGCTGGAGGAGGAAAAAAAGAACGTAATTAGCTCAAAATTTTGTTTTCCTATTTTTCTATAGAGGACTTTGACACTGTAAAGAGATAAATTTCTTGTTTGATATTACTTTTTAGGAATTAGCGCAATCAGAAGAATCTACGCTTTACAGTCAAGCCATTCACTATGCTAATCGTATGGTGTCCTTACTAATACCACCCGATGTGAATGCAGTGGGACCGAAGCCGAAGCAATCCTTTCGCTTAGACGATAATCAAAGCGTATCGAATAGGTGAGTTTCCGATTATTTTTATATTGTTATTAAATTTATTTCGATGTATTAGAAACAGATTTTATTTTTTAAAATTTCTTAAATCAAATCTTTATTAATATTATTTCTTAGATTATTATACATTTTATTTCTTTATTTTGACTCGTTAAATGTATTGAAATTGCTGTACAGAACTTTTGAAACTCGTCGAGACTAGTAAAAACTAGATTTTCCTTAATTCTTGAAGAAATATACGAATATTAATTTGTATATTATTATACTTGCAATTTGTTTGTACTTTTAATTTTAAAATGTTTATGAATTTGACTAAAAATATAATATCAGTTTTCTCCATTTATTTATAGAACAAATACTTTTCTTAGATTGAGGTACGATTTTGTTCTTATTTGTTGTAAGCACCTGCATATTATTTTTATTTATTTCTTCACTTATTTTTATTATTATTTTTAATATACAATAAAATGCACGTTTTTGCTTCCGCGTTTGAAATTAACAAAATTTGCGTGAAATTAACAAAAAACGCATAAAATATATATAAATGACCTGCATGACGAGTAGTCGATTTAGCTATGACCGTCTGTCTGTATTTACAGTAGTTACTCAGTTTTTGAAATATCGATTTGACACACGTCCTTTTCTTCACAAAAAGCTGGTTATTTGTAGGAAAAGCCCAAAGCGGACCGTTCAAATTGAACTATCAAAATCATACCCTTTAAACTTTTTTATTTAACGAGATATCTTCACGAAATTTGGTACGGATTGTTTCCGGCTTCGATATAACGATCACATTTGAGGTTAGATTCTGGGTTTCATACATTCTAAAGAGAATTTTCGGATTTATATCTTCGACGGGTTTTCAGATTAATGACTTATTGCATACATTTTTTCTATAAAAATTCATTAAATTAAAAATTTGTTGCTAATTTTGAAGCATTGCAGTTTAAATATAAGACAGATTCTTAAAAAAAAATACATTGTTTTTATTATTTTATTTAATATTAGCGGGAAAACGCTGTTAAACGCTTATTTTTTTGAATATAATACACCGAAATAGTTTTCACTAATAATATTTTACATACTTTGCACAAAGAAATCTTTTAGAGGAATTCAAACCATATTTAGTATTTATAAACGAAAATTTCATAATTAAACTAAACTATGATTCGCATTGATTAACGCAATACATCAGTTTGGTTTTGTTCTCAACTTTAAACAAATGTTTCGTATCATTTTCATTACAGTATTATGGGCTCGCACAGCTTAAGCGAACATTCAGACGAGGGCTTTGAGGAGAACGACGCACTGGAAGTGGGCGGTGCAGTCGGCAAAATGGTGTCACGATTCATCGATCGCGTTTGTACTGAGGGTGGCGTTACGTCTGAGCATATACGCAATTTACATGATATGGTGCCCGGTGTAGTACATATGCATATTGAAACGCTGGAATCGGTATATCTGGAATCTAAAAGGCATCCACATGTGCAAAAGCCAAAGATACAAGCGCCATGTCTGCTGCCAGGCGAAGAGATTGTAACGGATCATTTGCGTTGCTATCTCATGCCGGACGGCCGAGAAGATGACACACAAAGCTGGATACCAGCCGAGGGCGCATTGTTCTTAACAAATTATCGTATTGTGTTCAAAGGTGAGTGAAATTTAAAATACGACTATTATGCAACAAAAATTAACTGCTTTTTAATGTCACTGCATTTTAGGCTCACCCTGTGATCCACTCGCTTGCGAACAGACCATTATTCGCGCATTTCCCATCTCCTCAATGCTGAAGGAGAAGAAAATCTCAGTACTATATCTTTCGCATTTAGATCAAACCCTGCCGGAGGGTTTGCAGTTGCGTTCTAGCACCTTCCAGTTGATGAAAATAGCTTTCGATACGGAAGTGACGCCGGAAATGATTGAAACTTTTCGTAAAATACTCACAAAGGCTCGCCATCCAATCGATGAGTTCGAGCACTTTGCCTTCCAATCGTACGGTACCATCATGCATGGCACCGCACCATCTAAAACCAAAGAAAAATACTCAACACTAAAGGGTTTCGCTAAGAAAACGATTTTACGCAAATTCAAACAAAAAACGCCAGCCAAACGTAAATTAGTTACTTCGACATTAGATTTTGATACGCTCGGTCCTTCAACAGAGGCGATAGACACACATTCTTTAGACGACGAACTCGAAGATGATGAGTTCGAGACAAATACGGACACAATGCCACGCTTACTGACCGCCAAAGATGTGGAGCGCATGCGAGAACGTAGCTATGTGCGCGATTGGAAACGTTTAGGCTTTGACGAGGCACAAAATGGCTTCCGCATAACCACCGTAAATGCCAACTACAGTTTATGTCGTTCATATCCTGCGCTGTTGGTTGCGCCTGTGCAAATTAATGATGCGGCGCTTTTGCATCTTGGACGATGCTACAAGAGTCAACGCATACCTGTGGCCACATGGCGACATCGGAATGGCGCTCTCTTGATACGAGGCGCTCTGCCACATAGCAAATCAGTGATCGGTGAGTTTGAAGTTTCAAAATTGTATTGTAATTGTATATATATATATATATATATATATATATTAATTATCCTAGGCATGCTGAAAAACTCCACCGGTTCGAATACGATGTCACATGACGTCGCCAACTATCACGAGCAAGATAAATATATTTCAGCGCTAATTGACTCCATGCCAAAGAATCTCTCCCTAGCATTGGCGCAATACACAATGACTGGCATGAATTTGTCCATGAATTCATTGTTATTGAACGCTACCGATGAGTCGGCCTACCTCAATCGCGCAGATACTTCGTTGACACCCGAGGTTAGTCGTAAACACAAGTCGGCGATTTCAGGTAGTGGTAGTGAATCTAAATCGAATAATTGGACCGATTCACTAAAACCAAAATCGAATACTATAAAGAACAATTCATCGGTGACGGCGGCCGCAGCAGCATATCGGAAGTTACGGCTTTATGTCTTAGGTATTTCCTTTCTTATTTTCGCACTTGCTCACTATATCCTTCCTCCTTGCATTCATTTAGGTGAGAAATCTCAAACAAAATCCGGCATCAACGCAGATCTCTGTGCAGAATTCATAGCCGTCGACTATGCCGATTACCGGCAAACGCGCATCGCTTTCAAGAAGCTAATGCGCGCCTGTCTGCCCTCGAATACAACCAACGATGCCGACCAAACATTCGCCAAAAGCGTTGAACAGTCGGAGTGGTTACAGCAAATTTCTTCACTCCTACAACTCTCCGGTGCAGTAGTCGATCTAATGGATCTGCAGGAGTCTAGTGTGATGCTCTCACTGGAGGATGGCTGGGATATAACCGCGCAAATATCATCAATTGCACAACTCTGCCTCGATCCCTACTATCGCACAATGGAGGGTTTCCGTGTGCTCATCGAAAAGGATTGGATCGCATTTGGACATCGTTTTGCGCATCGCAGCAATCTGAAGCCAACCCATGGCAACTCAAGTATTGCATTTGCTCCGACCTTTTTGCAATTTCTAGACGCTGTCTACCAAATACAACGACAGTTTCCAATGGCATTTGAATTCAATGAGTTCTATGTGCGCTTCTTGGCCTACCATATGGTTTCGTGTCGTTTCCGCACCTTTCTTTTTGACTGCGAGGTGGAACGTTTCGATTTAGGTATCGCATCTGTGGAGGATAAACGTGGTTCGCTGGGCACCAAACATCATCTATTGGGTAATAATTTTAAGCTTTGTGTGTATATACGATTGGCAAATCATATTCATATCCCTTACGTAATTATTCCTACAGGTAATACGGGGTCCGATGACGAGGGTGTCTATCCCATGGACGTACGCAGTAAAGCACAATCTTCGGTGAATTTCAATCGCATAGGTCACTCTATATTCGATTACATCGAACGACAACACGCGAAGACACAAATCTTCTACAATTTTATGTATTGTGTACGAGATGATGTACTGCGTCCACAGAGTTCAGTGCCCGCCCTCGATCTATGGGCATATTACACGAACGAAGAACTGGCACAGGGTCCACCTTACGATCTGGAGCTCACCAATGCCGATGATGAAATCGATTTATCTGAATTGCGTGGCAAACGCATCGTGATTAGCGCCGGTTATGATAACATCGAGAAAAGCAATGCGAATGCCTTCGTTTGTCTGCTGAGCGATGTACGTCAAGCGGAAACCGAACGTGGTTATTTACCACAGAAATGGTTGCAAGTGTGGGACCAATTGGAAGTGCCGCCAATGGAGGAGTTAACACGCAAATCCTCGCTTAGCAGCATTCTCTTGCAGTCACACGGCAAATTGGCACCCAAACGCTCTACGTTAGAGATTTTGATGAAGGGCCGTCAAAGTGGCTATCAGGATAAATATTTTCATCCGCATCGTTTCGAGAAGCATCCATACACCACACCAACGAACTGCAATCACTGCACGAAGCTGTTATGGGGTCCGGTGGGCTACCGCTGCATGGACTGTGGTAATTCGTATCACGAGAAATGCACCGAAATATCGCTGAAGAATTGCACGAAATATAAAGCAGTCGACGGTGTGGTACCGCCGAATGTGAACATCTCGCAGGGTGACACCGCCAGCATAGCATCGAGTGCTGCCACAACAGCGCGCACATCCAGTCATCATTTCTACAATCAGTTCAGCAGTAATGTGGCGGAGAATCGCACGCATGAAGGGTTAGTTGAGATTATTTATGTTTCATTTGCATGTTACTGCAGGTTTTTTGTTGCGGGCTAAATAATAATCCATGATCATACTTGGTTTTCTTTCTCTTTGCAGTCATCTTTATAAGCGCGGCGCTCTTCTGAAAGGCTGGAAACAGCGTTGGTTTGTCTTGGACTCTATAAAACATCAACTACGCTATTATGACTCCGGTGAGGATTCGCAATGCAAAGGAGTCATAGGTAAATTTCTATATTTTTTGTACTTTTTTTTTATCTTGCGTTTAAGATAAAGAAATTTTTAATCTTAGTAATTTTATTTGTTTGAATGGTTTCTTAATTAACTAAGCCTTCCTCGTAGCCTTTTAGTTTTTTTATATGCAGTCATTGTTGTTTTTTTTTTTTTTTTTTTGTTATTATTGTTAAGTTTTTATTAATAAAGTCAGTTTATTACTTCTTTTATCGTATGTGTGATGCCTTAGATATTTCAAAATTAATTAAAATGTGCATTGTTTTTCGAATAAATATATTGTAAGTTTAGTTTTTGTATGAAAAAAGCAATAATTTTATTATTATCCCTTTACAATATTTTACATATTATACATATACTTTTATTTTATATATTATTGTAGTATTGCTTTAAATATCTGGAAAATTCGTGTTTTTCTGTTTTTAGATTTTTTTATTAATACTTTTCAACTAAAATATTTCCTTCTATTACATATTTTTTTTTTATATATAGTATTTATTCGCAATCTATCAAATGAGAATCGGCAAATTTTTTAAATACATTAATAGTGACAGGATTGATTGTTCTACATTGAGACTAATCAATATACTATTATGTATTTTATGCTTGTATTTTTTTTTTTTGTGTTAGCTGTGCCACTCGAATACAATTTTTTTCAATGTTTTTATTTTTGGGAAATTTTTTTTCGAAATTTCTTGTAATTAAGTTCCCAAAAATATTTGCTAATCGAATTGAATTATAATCTTTTAGTTATATTTATTTTTGAATTTAAATATCTCAGTTATTAAAAAAATCGAATTTTTTACCTTTTGATCACTTCGATTATTATATTAAACGAAATTTTAATTATAGCATCAATAAACGCTTAAGATAAAACCAAAAAATATTTTAATATATTCAAACAGTGCAATTYTACATATACATACATACATACTTTACATACATACATACATACTTGTTTACATATTTAATATTTCTTTTTTCTCATTGTTTTCTGCAATATTCGCCACATCATCAAACAGAATTGGCGGAAGTGCAATCGGTGACACCGGCGCAGCCCGCACAAATTGGCACGAAACGCATCGACGAGAAGGGCTTCTTCGATGTAAGTATACGAAATACCGTATTATAGTTGCATAAATCATAACAATTCAACGAAATGCATACACGCTTCCCCTCTTTTGCAGTTGAAGACCAATCGTCGCACGTACAATTTCTATGCCGTAAATGCGAATTTGGCACAAGAATGGATTGAGAAAATTCAAGCCTGCCTACAGTAGATGAAATTTAGCATAGACGCGCCCATTAGCAGTGTATTCATCAACGATATTCCGTTTCTTGCACGTATTATTTTAGTTACATACATATATAACGTAAGCTGCTTCTAAGTTACGTGGAAAAAAGTAGAAAATACGGTAGGGAAATCAAAACGCAACGCTTTATGAAAGAGTTTGGCGTTAAACTTATCATTATATATTTATGTATAAATACTAGCGATTAAATGTGTATATTTAAGCTATGTGTGTGTATTTACTACTTTTATGTCTTATTTATTCTTATTTGTTTTCTATATATATTATTTTGCATAAAACATTAAATTTATACATTCATCAATACAACATAATGTCAACCAACGACAAACATATTTGATAAGCATTAGTGCAAATAAAGAAATCAAATAAGCTAAATACATTCATACAAAAACACGCTTAACGACGCTCTGTCAGCTTTGTGCGTGGCGTATTTTGTATTTATTTATTTCAACTGCTGGCTTATTAGGCGTGAATTTAAGCAAACGCCACTTCCATGCACTAGCACCGTATTGCATTTGTATTTGTAATAGCATATTATCATATGTGTATACTAATAACGTGTTATTCTTTAGTATACTCATAATTATAATAGTTATTGATGTTTTTACTATAAAAAAAATAATACACTGCAATAACCAGAGCTACCATATATATTTAATTTCAAGAAACACTGTTTTTCAATACACAAAAGAAAGACTATAAATATACAATGAATTCATTCATGTATTATACACATACATACATGCATACATAAAATATACGTAATACGTAGTGTACCAAAAGATATTTGAATATGCAATACAATATGCTTATACATACATATAAACATTATATAATTAAATTTATAACATAATAAATAGACTTTTCATTGTGATCAATTGATGAAACACTAATCCATACATATAAAAGAGAAAATTTGAAAAATATGAAAATTAATAAAATTGTATAAATGTATCGTTTAATAATCAGTGTTTTTGCTCACTATTTTATTTTACCTTTAAAAAAGCATATGCATATATGAAATATGATATTCCTTACCCAAAATTTTTTAATATCACACTATAATTTCTATTAGTGTGCATCATATACATATGTTCCTGACATAACTTTGTTGAAATGTGCTTTAATAAAAAAAACTTTCCCACGACAACCGTTGAGGACTGCTCTACTCGGTAGTATGCCTCGAAATTATGCTACCGATACTGCAATAACATCCAGATTTTATAAAAAACAAATTTAAAAAAAAAACGAATAAAATCATAGAAAACTTAATTTCGATCGTTCAGTTTGTATGACAGCTATATATTATAGTACTACAATAAATGAGCAGCTAAAGACGTGTGAAAAATTTCCGAACAATTACTCAAACACTGAGGAGCTATGACTAAATCGATACAGTTCGTCATGTTGATGATTTATCATACATATATATTTATAAGGTCTCTCGACATTCCCTTCTATATGTACAAACACCGTAGCAAACTTAAAATAAATACCCTGTTCAACATATACGAATAAAAACTAAGAGACAAATTTTCAATGGATTCATTGAGTTGTACTGGATCTGGATCTCTCCTTGGCACAGCAGCGCTATACACTCAAACACCATAGAAATGTACATACATATTTTCAACAAACAAAAACAACTTTTTCCGTTTATTTTAAACACGAACAACTATAGGAACGTTGTCCAGTAAACAATGTTCAGTATAAAAAATGAAAATGGAAAAAAGAAACGTGAGAATTTATCAATATAAATCGCTGTGGCATGTCCGTGGCAGAATGTGTCGTACTGTGGCTCAATTATCGACTCGCGATGATGATTCTAATAGAAAAAAAAATAAATAAATGTATAATTTCAAAAATATTTCAAGACATTTAAATGAGTTCACTTCACCTTTCTCACCTTCATGTCACCGATGTCGTGTAAATTCTCATCCGAATAGCCCTTCATGGCTTTCGTCGCCACCGGGCCCATATAGTTATTCACCACAGCGAATTCCATTAACGATAGGAATACAAATACCGAACACGATGACATCCACACATCGATGGCCTTGACATACGACACCGGCGGCAGCGATTGTTGTGATTGGGTATTTTGTGTGGCGAGTGTGAGTAGCGATGTGACGCCGAGCGTGACACGCGCCGGTATCGCTTCGGGTTTAATCCAGAAGGAAATCCACGACATGACCACAATCAGCGCCGACGGAATATAGCTGTTAATGAGGGAAAGAAGCGTGTAAAAGAAGCGAAAATAAGAACTCATTTAACGTGGAGTCACTTACGTATGAAAGAGATGATAGCCAAGGCGTCGACGCAGATTGAAAACAATGGCCAGGCAAGTGAAGTTGCCTGCGCAATTTAAAAAAAAAAAAAACTTTAATTAATACAAATATATAATAATATTTTGACTGAAGAGAATACGCCATATGTTTTTTACTTCTCATACAATGAGAGAATGAAACAACAACTATGCAAGTTTGTGTAAAAATTTTACAAAATTGTATATACAATATGTGGAGACACCGAAACTAAAAAAATCGGTATTTTGTTGTTGTCGTTGTTACATGTTGCTACAGAGTGTAATTTTGTAGACCAGACGGTTATATGTATTACCCAAAACTAATCGAGATAGATCTAGGCATATGATTATGATGACGGGAGATACAGTTGACTGTATGTTTGTCCGTCAAAAGATGGGCGAGGCATCACCCACTTTTTAGTGAAATCACATATCTCGGGACTGGCCCGACCGATTTCGACTAAATTGGCATTCAGTCAGTCAGAGGATGAAATCAGACTAAAACTACGTCTACATCTCATATAGCACCATTTTCAATACGATTTGATTCTTTCATTTGATTCACTTTCCAGTACACAAATCAAGAAGCAATTAGTATAAATTAGGATAAAACTTTGTACGAATAAAATAAATGTAAAAAAATTTAACCAAAACTGTTCAAGTCCCTAGGCACTATGTGAACTCCAGTATCAATAGTGGACTTTTGGCCGAAAATGGCACATACGATTGAAGTTCAGAGAGAATCCTTTCCTGATAATAGTATCTCTATGTATCAAAAATGGATTGAATCGAGTCAGTGATTTCGAAATTCCGGTTGACTTTGGAAAAATAAGTGAGTTATCTCAATGAAAAAGAACGAACGTGATTTGTTCATCAGTGTATCTTTGCCCCTAAAATGCATAAAATTGACCGAAAACTTGATATTTTGAAGGATAAAAAAAATATATAGGAGAATGTTTACTTATTAAAAAAAATATAAATAAAATCTGCGGTCAACAATACTTAGCAGACTGACAGCATTCGGGAGTCAAACTTTTTTACATTTAACCTGACGCAGTGAGCAACTGTAACATTATGTAACCAGAACAAGTTTGTGTCTTAAGTCTTTCGTTTGCATTTTTGGGATATTTTTTTTTTTATTTCACTTATTTTCGCTTGCGAATATCACACATTCATACCTGTTGAATACTCAATAGTGCAGTCGGTTGTATAATTGTTCGATATATCCAATTGTGGTAACTCGATTTCGGTATTAACCACAAGCGGATCGGTCATATTCCAAATAAACACCAGGTCCTCAACCGTATGTGATACTGGAATGGAGAGTAAATATATATATTTATAATGTAATATTTTATAACAATGTGCCATCGCCACTCACAGCTTTCAATCATCATGGAACAGATTTGTGTGTCATGCGGATAAGATTCGAATTTCATGGCACAGGACAACACCAACGTTAACCTAAAAAAATTATAATAAAAAATTTCAAAATTTCAATATATCTTATTTAATATTTCTTATAGCTTTGATGTACAGTATATACCCACTTGGACATGTAGAGCAAAGTTTTATCATGATATAGCCACAAATAATGATTCGGTATGCTCATTTCGTGAAATGTGACTTTTTTGGCATTCTTAAAGAAGCAATCTGGCCGCCAAATGCTATGCAACCAATCGACATCCAATATGCGATACTGTTCGCTCATGTTCTCCGGCAGTCGCAGGCGAGGATCACGCCAACTTTGTGCTAGGAATACATCTGTGACATATGTCTATAAGAAGTTGTACAATGCTATACAGATTTATCGCATTTTTTGTAAATAAACCACAATTCATTACCATTGATTCCTCGTTGATGGAATCCAGCGATAACACTGTCACATGAAAGTAAACAACGGTCGGCTGTCCAAGTAGTTTTGGTGCACGATTTTTATCATAATTTTTCGATGGTATTGGCAATATATCGGGCAATGATAAACTCGACTCAATACCGGTGACTAATTCGGCGCTCTCTGTGACATTTCTGTAAGGTATAGATATTCATTGCATTTGTAAAGTAATAACTGTTTTGATTCGTTACTTTTTTAGATTTCTTAGAGCTTCTATCGTGACACGAATAATGAAGGAAAGAAAATATTAAGTTTATGTTTACTGTAAGGGACCCTCAAAGATATTTAACCTGATTATACAGTCTTTACTCAAACTCTGTCAATCAAAAGCGCTATTTAAAAGTTTTTTTTTTTAACGCTGAGGATTTTTGTGATAAATTACGGTTAAAACAATTTTTCCCAATGTTTGAGGTTAGCCACGTAATAACACACATATGCTTATAGTTATATATATGTACATATGTCACAGGCCGTCGCGTGTTTGTGCCCTACTTGGTGCTTATGATAAAAATATAGAAAAATTAATATTTTGAAACTCATTACTCACCTTAAACCATGAATACAATTGCACAGCAATATTGATTTTTCCAACAAACACAAATGAATTGTGAAAATGACTAGAAATCTTCGTTGATTCAACTGTTTAAATACAGTACGCATTTTGTATAACGTCTGGCGATATTTAAGCGAATTTGTCACATTAATTAATATAATAAATATATATGTATGTTATAGCGCTATATGACTCGTTTTTTTTTTTTTATATATAGAAATATGTAGCATACATTTTGTATTTACCGTTAAGTAATTTTTGTATATTAAGTTAAGAGGTTATAATATTCTTGTACTCAATTTAAAGCTATGGTATGCACTTTCATATGTACACACACGCATTTATACACAAAAATTCGATATTATGACTTAAGCACTTTTTGGCGAAATCGTGTTATTTATAAAAATATTTCCTAAATGTACGTACATAGTTCAAATGCTATGCATTCCAAACTTTTGTATATGCTATATTGTCCATATGATTGTTTTTGACTTGTACTTTAAAATTGTAGATATTATTGAACGCACTTGGAATTTTATTGAAAATCGTTGCTGACACATCATCACTGCTTAATTTTACATACGCTGCAATTCGCCTCCTTCAATGCACCCAATATGTGAAGGCAAAAAATTTCACATTGTAATATTTCTCTTTGGAAGTGCTCTTTAATATTTGCGGATTATTTATTTCTAGCTAAATTATAGTTTGATTTGGCACTTAACGTGTGATTTTATCGGCAGGTGTGATAAATATTTTTGTATGGCTTCTTTGAGTGCATTTCGGCTTTGGATTTGAATTCTTGCATTTCGAATTGACAGTTGAGGTGCGATGGCGTTAAAGCGGGAACTAAACAATAACAAAGTGTCGCATGTTGCTCTCTATGCATGCATTTTTTTTTTTTTATTTACTAATTATTTTTCAATCCTCTTTTGTTCTCTTTGGACCTTTACAAACGTAAACAAAATTAACGAATGCATTGCTAGGTATGATAAACAAAAAGAAACACGTGGCATTTACTGAAAATTTTTATATTGCACTATTTTCGCTCGTGTATACGCATATATAGAGAAATATGAATGTATGCATATACCTATCAAACATTTTTAATATATTCAAAATAATAAATACTTAATTACAAATTTTGTGTAACGGAAATGCGTTAAAAATTCAAATTATTTTTTTAGTGTGCACACATTTGCATATTCCTACACACATATGCACTTAAAAATGCATGCGAGAATGATTTATAATTTCACCCACCAACATTGTCACTGACGGCATTCAGCGCCATCTATTTGTGGCGTAGATTGCGAATTCTTAGTACAATGTCGTATTAGGGTTGTCATCGCATAGTGATGATATGAGTTTGAATACGAAGAGGCAAAACAAACTATCGAATAATACTTGCCGATATAATAATTAAGCTACAGAGAACAATCCCGCATGTGTTTACATATGCTACACATGCATTAACGCTCCACGACTGTAGTTTAAAAGGTGCCGATCATTAGAACGACTTCTGTGATTAAGGAACTTAATATAAAAGTAATGTTGATAGTTAATCGGACGGTCAATTTCACAAAGGCAGGTGGATTGACTGTGAGTTTATGATAATACATACTAACCTAATAATTTTGTTTACCCTAAATAGCTGATAGCTGCAACTAACATAACACTGTCAGTCCCTCTGTGCCGTTCATTAGCAACTTCATTACAACAACAAACGAAAGGATTTGCCGCAGCTATGTCAGAAGCGTTAGACAAATTGGCTCAGCAGCAGGCACAAAATAAAGTTGAAAGTGACGCCGTGGCTGAACAATTGAAGGATACAAAACGTCAGAAACGTGAATTAAAACGGAGGAAATGGGTTGACTGGAAGACACAGGACGAACTGGCCGGAGACACAAAGCGGCCAGCCTTCGATCCGGCCGATCGTGTTAAGCGAAAAAAATGCGCAATATTATTGAGTTACTGTGGTGCCAAATATTTTGGCATGCAACGGAATCCCGGTATGCAAACGATTGAGGAGGAACTCTTCAAAGCAATGCTAAAACACAAGTGGATAACAGAGGAAAGTTTTGAGGCGGCACAAGCAGCATGCTTTCAACGAGCTGCACGCACTGATAAAGGTGTGTCTGCAGCAAGACAAGTATGTTCGATAAAATTGCGTAAGTGATGAGCTATAATTTCTTGAAATAGCAAAGATTATTTTGTAATGGCATATTTTTAATTTCTGCAGCTGATTCAGTCGATATCAAATCTATAAACGAAAATTTGCCAGAAGAAATACGTGTTTTCGGGGTCGAGCGTGTTACAAAGGGATTTAATGCTAAAGATCAGTGCAATGCTCGAACGTACACATACACGCTACCATCCATTGCATTTGCAGATAGCACAGAGAAAAATGATTTCGAGAGCTATCGAACTGACTCTGCACACTTGCAAAAGATAAGGGATGTACTGCAGTTATATGAGGGCACGAAAAACTTTCACAATTTTACGAGCAGAAAGTGAGTATTTTTACTGTGTTTATTATTTATGTTTTTTTTTTTACAAAGTTTTGTTTCTCATTTAGAAACTTTTTGGATCCTTCAGCGAAGCGATTTATCATGTTATTTAGTTGCTCTGATCCATTTATTACGCCACAAGGCTTAGAATTTCTCACGTTAAAAGTTAAGGGTCAAAGCTTTATGCTTCATCAAATTCGAAAAATGGTCGGTTTAGCGATAGCAATTGTACGTGGCAACACTACTGTAGCTACACTGGAGCGTGCACTGGCCGAAGAGCGTTTAGATTTGCCAATGGCGCCTGGTTTGGGTTTAGTATTAGATACTGTCCACTATGAACGCTACAATGAACGGTACGGTAGTGATGGTATACATGAACCGTTAACGTGGGCTAAGCAAGAGGATGAAGTAAAAGATTTCATTGAACGCTATATCTATGCTAATATTTACGAAACAGAGCATAAAGAGCGTTCCATGTTGGAATGGTTGGAGACTCTACCGTTGCATTCATATGATGCGCGACGTGATGATGTGCAAACAACACCGAACAATGAAGGCAGTGCGAATAAGCGAAATGATGACGACGATGAATAATTTATTTTAATCATGATTTGTTTGACAAATGAAGAAAGAAAGCTGAAAGAAATTTTTAAATGATCTACTTTAAATCCAAATGCATTTTATTTTATTTAAGCTAGTACATATTCATCAATACATAATGCAATAAGGTGCACATTAAAAAATTGTTAAAAACATGGTTCTTGCCAACTTAGCAAATGCATAAATGCGTTTAGAAGCGTCCGCCCTTCTTCTTTTTATGACCACCTTTGCGATGTTGTTGACGTGGCCCTGGTGTTGGTTCTTGGTAAACTGGTGTGGCTGGCGAGTTTTTTCCCAGATTTGCACGATTCGACATATCACTGAAATAATTACATTTTATTAACACAAAAATTAAAAAAAAAACATGCATTTTACTTACTATTGCTCAGCTGCACCACTTGCCATGCCCTGCGAACCCTTAATAATGTCCTTTGCACGACGGTCGCGCTTCTTACGGAATCCAGTGCGTTCGTACTTGGGCAACCAGCGCTCTGGATCTGGTGCTATTTCTGCATTATAATTCTTAGGCAGTTTTCCTTTACGTTTCCTATTACGTTTCTTCTTTTTCTCTACAACTGGTGTACTTGGCGATGGTTCGATCTTGGCATTGGCGGATTTTTTAACTGCTTTTGTAGACATAACCCAATTGGCCGACTCTAATGCATCGATTTCGGAGGCAGTGGTCAGTGTTTCAAGTTTCGGTAAGCGTTTACTCAACTCTAAGGCACGTTTTGGATTGAATTGTGCATATGCAATTACAAGCTGCGCCAATACTTTCATATCATTCGCATTGAGCTTGAGTAATTCTTCGAGTGAACTGGCAGCAGTCTCAGAAGCACCCCCACGTAAATGAAACTCTGCGGCTTGTCGCCACATATCACTCAAATCTCCACTACTAACCTGTAAATAAATATATATTAATCTTCAGATATTATTTCTTTAGTTTAAAACACACTTACATTGTTCATTTTATACCATTCAACAGCAGACTTCAGCAATTCAGATGCGGCGGGTTTATTGTCTGTGCCCAAATAGAGTGTTACCAGTGCAGATATGATACCTGGCTTGTACATTTGCTCGCCCAGAGAAAGCAACACATCAATTGCCTCCTTGCGACTACCTTGTGAAAGTAATAACTGAACAACAGCGAACTTGGACGCGAAAGCATTTTCTTTATGCGCTTTTGCATATTTATTAAGCAACTCTAAGGCCTCCTTTTGTCGTTTATCCTTAGTGAGTTGAGAACATTGTATAAGTAACGTTTGAAATTCTAAATCAGGATAGCTTTGCACCAACTTCTGACACAACTGCTGCACTTGATCACTTGAGTTAGTAAGGAAAGCAAGCAGACAGTTATTCAAAGCAATAGCTTTCTTTTGACGGCTAGTCAATTTCGATTCGCATGCGTCAGACATGGCCGAACGTATTTTCTTTTTAGAATCAAATACATTCTGATCTTTATTAATGACTACCGAATTATTGCTGGCTACAGCTACCAAAACGGGGTCTTTCGGTTTGTTGCGTAAACATTCAGCGTATATAATTGCCGCTTCTTTCAACTTGCCTTGCATTTGAAGGCAATATCCTAATTGCACACGTATTGGCTCCAGTTCTTCACGCATCTCTTCTTCAGTAACACCGTCCTCCTCTAAGGTTTCACGACAAAGCTTCTCACTGGCTCGCAATTTTTTCTCAGCTTCAGCGTATTTTTGACGATTAGACGCAATACAAGCAGCATTGTAATACTGCTCGTATGTCTCTTCGGGTAGCTCTGGTATTTCCTTGTTCTAGATTTTATATATATATTTTTTTTAAAGTTAAATTGAAGATTACAAATAAGAGTTTATATCTTACCTTATCTATAGCCAAGTTAGCTGCTACAGCACTTAGATTAGTACGACGTTCATTTTCGTATTCATCATTAGTGTTCTTGATGATTTCCTTATATGCATCAAAGCACTCGTCATAACGTTCCAGACGATAAAGTACTTGTGTGCGCAGCTCTTTTAGACTATCAGGCAATGGATTCATACCAGCATTGTCGATAGTTTTTAATGCTTGCTCGGGTTTGTTCAATCGATACTCGCTGTAAGCTTTTTCCAATACTAAACTGGAGGATAATTTATTCTTTTCTATGAATTTATATGCCTCTTCGAATTTGGATAATTGAATGAGGCAAACGACCTTGCAATGCAAAGCTGTTTGATCGTCTGGTGCAACACCCAAAACTAATGAATGTACAATGCAAATATAGTGGGTTAGTTTCAGGCAATGTGTGTAGTGCTTTTAAACACAAAGCAACAACAAATTCTTACTTCTATTTACTGCTTTTACTGCTTTATCGTATTCGCCATTTTGTCCATATTTATTTATATCCGCATATGCAGCTTTTATAATAGCTTCTTTTTGATTTGGATCTTTAGACATTTTTAACAATTCTAATATACTTTCAACTTATTTTCGATTCATCAATATGAAACACACACACAAAATTCTTTTCAACTTTTCAGTTATTTGACATTTATTTGACACCTCAGCAAATCCAATTGGAATATGTCACAAGCCAAATAAAGCATGGCACGTTAATAATGAAAGTAAAACTTTCAAAATTTGACTGATTAAATTACAGATATTTAATTAAAAAATATTGAAATCCAAGATATAATTTAAAAAAGTTGCAACAAAGTGAAATCAACTGAATTGTTATAAAAGATTTATGAAATTGAACTTTTATCTATTTCTACATTTTTGCGTGGTAGCTCCAAATTTCTCTATGGTCTGGTATCATTGGCGCATATTTTACATTCTGTTTTCTTTCAACGATCACAAATTTACAATTGATACGCAGTTGGAGTGAAAATCGTTTTTGGAAAAATTACCTTTATTAAATGCATATTAACGACTTCTTTAACTTCATTAAGTGAAAAGCTACGTTAAACTTTAGTGGAGTGACTGTATTATCAGCAAAACCATAAAGGTGCTCTAAAAGGAGCGTGACAAGTGAAATAAGGAAATCTTGTGTGATTAACAAAAAAGTGATTGTCACTAGCGCTGGCGTTAGAGACGGTGAAATATTCGTAATAAATGTGAAAATAAATAATAATATCCTATACACATATTTATTTAATAATAAAAAAAGTTTCAAAATGAGAACGGAAATACCGAGCCAGAAACGGTGCATTCATCTTGTACTGCTAATGGCATTCGTATTAAGCACATTGGTGACAGGTAATAAACTTGGAGTTTCCCAGCATCCTAAGGGCCACATTTATTTTTGTCATTAAGAGACAACATTACATTACAATATGATCTTTAAATGCACTAGGGATTTGTTTAACACAATAACAATTATTGCATATGAATCGATATCCGCCCACTAAATATTACATTACAATATTTCATATAAAAAAAAATTGTTATAATTACTTTTTTCTTCTCTAAAAAGCTGATTATGTTGAAATAAAAAGCACAGGATCGTCAGTAATTGGTGGAACTGTAAATTTCAGTGCTGTGCTTTACGATGATGGTCAAGTCGCGAGTACGGGAGATTACATGTTCAACTGGGAGGATAATACACCAGCTGCTAATAATGTGGTAAGCATAAACTCAACATATGCTAACAAACTTTATAGATGACGAGAACAAGCAAAATGTTATTTTTATTGAATACCAAGAAAAAAAATGTCGTCTCTCAACTGTTTTGGTATGACTAATGCTGCCAAGTACTGCTTTGTTTTGGTGTTTTCTTCATTTATTATATTTTTATGTACATTCTTATCTCTTCTTTGAATTAGCATTTTTAATTCGAGTTTTGCCGTTTTAGTACTTGCATATATTATTTTTTTATAAAACAAAGAAATAATTACTTCCATTTAATACAATTAGTTAAATAAGAAGAATTACGTGTATATGTACATAAGTATTAAATACGTCATCTTTCTGTACTAATTTATAAAATTGGTTGAATACTTGTGTATGGAAACGTATGTATTTATGCTCTCAAAAGATTCATACCATCTTTAAGATTCCACTCTTCTGAAGAACATTTTATAAGCCGATATTTGCTATAAAAAATGCATTTTAATATGAAATGACGTATTTAAGCAAACTTTAGTTTATTCAGCTGTCTGAAATGAATAATTGTTGTCTGTAATAACGTTTCGAAATTCGATAACGCAATAATATTATATGGAATATAATGCATGCCGATAATTTGCAAATACTTTCGAAATACAAAATAAAAATACTATTTGCACACATGTTTTCAAAAGAAATAACGGCAAAAAATGGGGTTTTGCATACAAATATAATTTTGTAAAGCATTTTGCAATTCAATTGACATTCTAACTGATTTATTTATGGTTTTTATTAATTTAATTTATTTGTTTCTCAACCACATTGTTATTTTTTTTCTATTTTTATGCAAATTAAATGACTATTAATTCAATAATAACGCATTGTATATATTTATAAAGTATAATATACACATGTGTACATATGTAATATTCTTTATCATGAATTCCGTGTCGGTTAATTTATAAAACCTTTTATAAGCATTACATGTGTACATGCACACTACTCATTCATTCATACATAGAAAATTTYTTAAATTCTTTATTTAAATATGTAGTTATTCATTTTTAAGTAGCTTGAATGACCTTTGTAGACCTACGGTATACAGAAATTTTTGAATTGTTGACATTGTAATTAATTTCACTTTATTGTAAGCAAAAATAACAGGTTATGAATATTTTAAACACTTGCATACAAAGGTACATACATATTAATATATTATATTATATATATGTACATGTATACATTGAACAAATATGTATGTACCATATATTACTTTCGATTTAGGATCATACAATTGTATTATAAGCCAATAAGGTGTTTTAATCCTGTCTCTTATACACATCTAGATGTGTATAAGAGACAGATATATATGTACATGTATACATTGAACAAATATGTATGTACCATATATTACTTTCGATTTAGGATCATACAATTGTATTATAAGCCAATAAGGTGTTTTAATCTCTAAAAAGAGATTTTTACATATTTTTTCTGTAAAAAAACAATGTTTTTGTTTTTCGTCTTCAAATTTATAGAAAATCAATACAAAATATCCCTATAGCAATTGGTCTGTAACATATCCGATGAATACAAGCAAACCTGGTGATTATCGGGTCACATTAAAAGTCGATAAGAATTATATATTATGGATAAATATAGCAACGAATCACATTGATTTCAAATTGGATGACTCCCTCGGCGGTGATATGCTGCTGCTGCAAAACGATACCAAACCAAGAAAAAATTTTATTTCTACCGCACAGCCGGTCAATCACACAATACAGTTGCGGCCAAACGATGCCAAGTTAATTGCGGACAAAGCCTACGAAGTACATACTTATTGGTTCAGAAATTGTACTTACATTGGTGTTATCAATGGACTTAGTTACGTAGCGCAATATACTGAACCTGATCAATATTATAAAATTGAAGCTTTGGTAAGTGCATTCTTGTATATATGGCTTTGAATTGTATTTAAGATTGTTTTTTTTTTTTGTCCCACTTTTATTTTAATAGGTCGTGGCGAGTTTCGAGAAACCACCTGAACCTATAACTACGACAACGACGACAACAACAACACCAATACATACAACCACACCTGCAACAACCACCACCACTCACAACCCGAACAATGATACCACTCCAAAAACAAAAACTCCAACAGTAAACCCCACTACTCTGGCGCCAAGACAAAGGCGACGTCGCGGTGCAGCTGCACCGATACCATTAACGTCACTACCTGCGCAGCAAGCATTAACTGTCAACACAACTGTGACTGATCAAGTGCACGATGCCGTTGCTTTGAATACTACAACAAAAGCAGCATCCAAAAAAGTCGACTTACCCATACTTATGTCGCCACTGCTGTTGGATGGCGAACCACCCTATAATTGTGTCACTGGGCAATTAATTGGACATGGGCCTAAAAATCTAACCGGCCTCTTTAAACATTACGTGGAATCAAAAGGTGCGCTTATACTATATTCTTATATTATTTTATTTTTTCTTAACAACCTAATAAATATTTTTCTTTTAATTCCATAGCTCCCGTTTCGGACTTCAAGGCTAACGGTCAAAATTGGCTACAACGCGGTGATATGATGCGCCTACAAGTGAATTGCAAAGGCTCACCTTCACTGGAGATGTGTATTCAGGTCTTCAACGGTGAGTAAAAGTGTCATTGAATATTGGTTACATTTAACATTGTATTAAAACCGATATTTCCTTCTTTACATGCTATAGCTCCATATAATGCCACCGGCAACGAGACTTGCCGTTACTATTTCCCACTCGAGAAATGCGAATACAATTACACGCGTTTTTTCTACGAGAGCAAAACAGTTTTATTTTTCATACGCAATGAAGTGTCTGAAAAGCTGAATCAGGTCACAATTAATATATACGAAGGTACATGATAACCGCATGCTTATAATCTAAGCTGATAATGTTAATATAAAAACTTATAACTTATAAATGTTTATTTAAATATAACATTTTTCTTTATATACATATATATTTTTAGCAAAAGTGCAATCGCAATTATCTGTTGTGGTGGTGCCGGTGTCATTCACTTTAATCGCTGTAATTCTAATCGTTTTCGGTGTCTCTTATTATTTGCAGTCGCGAAATCGGTAAGTACACATTCAGTTTGTTTTTATTGCGAAATTAAAGCAAAGGACGATTACTGTTAAGCTTCAATTTCGCACTAGTGTACAAATTAATTATTTAATCAAATACAGACACTTTCCCGATATTTAAACAAATTTGTTAGCCAACCGCAGAAATATCCATTTAATTATTATCAATTTCTTTACATTTTTATCGACAGTTTCACAGTAGAAGTGGCCGATTTTAATTTTGGCGAGACACAATCTGTTGATATGGAGTACAAAACATTTCAGCAACGTCTTATCGACAGCATACGTGAAGTGTGGCCTAGGCAACGACGCTACTCCGAATTCAATTCAGACATGGAGCCGGAGTTTGATCACAGTGGTCGCATTGGCGGCGCCTTTGATAACAGTGAGCAAAGACCCCACGTTGCTGACGAGGAAAATGAAAATAATGCAACAACTAGCGCTGGAAGTGGCAATACTACTATAGATAGCAATCTCAGATATAATGCATTGACTTAAGTTGTGAAGATCGTAGATATTAGATTTTAGAATTTATACAAATTTTGAAAAACGTTTTTTTTTTTTGACTTTTACATTTATAATATGCACAGAAAGTCAGTTCAAAGTCGTTTGAATCTTCATTCTAATTTGCGATTACGTATTTATAACGAGCTGGTAATGGTATTTGTGTATTTCATAGTAATTTCTTTTTTTTTTTGTTTTTGAATTGGTTTAGTTGCAACATGTATTGCTTTTTATTTATTTATTTTTTGTTTTGTGCTTAGGGTATATTTTTTGTATTCACCCGTATATTTAATTTTGTATATATGAATTCATGTACCGTTTATTGAACGCATGCAACTAACTATATTAAAATTGTGCATGCATTTTGTTATAATATTACGAAACTACAAGCACTAAGCATATAACGCTACACACTCATCAAAAGGTATATATTATAAAAATTGTTAAGAAAATCAGAAAGGAGAAACATTTCAATTCCCATATTTGCCAAATCGTATAAAGTCCAATAAATGTAAAATTTAATACCGAAATGTTCGTACAAAAAATTTGGCAATTATTATTTTTTATGGAGATTCCTCTTGGTGTAAGACTGTAACACTCTTAGCAGGCAGCGATATAGGTGTTATACATAAATAGGTAATTAGAAGCACATGCAGAAATGAAATATGACGATGTCCACAACTAAAGCTGCAATTCGTTGAAAGAATACAAATACATATATAAAGCTTACAACTTTTGTTCTTTAAATGCTGTGCAATGATGGCTTAAGGAAAAGGTTACTCACTGAAAATATTTCTACTCCGCATATTTTTACTGAGTTTATTAAACACATTCGCTATTGTGGTATATTTGATTGTGATAATTGATGAAAAAATTTATTGAAATATACTTTATAAAATATTTTATGCAGTGCTCGACACACAAATACATCACGAAGAAATACAAGTTTACATTGTATACTGAAACACAACTATTAACTATAGAAAATTTTTCAAAAATTCTAAATACTTTTGCAACTTTGGGCTATCCACTTTTTTGCTTCAATAAACGATTATGATTTCATGTTATGTATGAGAAAAGGCATATTAAAAACATGTATATCCATTGTAATATGTTAAAATAGTTTGAGTTGACTTAATGCGCGCAATTTGAGTTTTTAAGTCAACTAATCGCATCACAACATGGTATTTTAACCTAAACTATAGCTTAACATCGGAAACTTTATATTGCGTTAAAACATAGATAAATCATATTTCCATATTCCCACTAGAAATCGAGTAACTATTTAGTTTAAGTCGTATTAAGCTACTTTAACATGTTGACACATATAAATTATAAATATGAATTGTTGAATATAAGCAAAACGATAGTATTAAATTATTTAAAAATTGTATAATTAAAAGTTTCTGAAATTACGTCTTAATAAGAAAGGAGAACCCAAGAACTCTCGAAATCATTTCTACTATTCGTGCAATTATAGAAATTAAAACTGTATATCTTTAATACTTTTACGAAATTCATGAGCTCAGCACCCATACATAGTATGTACATATATGTACACATATACATACGCATACACAAATGGTTACAATTGTAAATAAAATATCCATTATACAAGCATTTAATAAATGCTTTTTAAATATTAAAATAAAATAAAAATTATTTTCTTTATTTCAGTTCGATTTATGGGTAAGCATTAAATAAATATAAAAATAAAAAAAAAAAAAACAAAAAAAAAACTTCAATTTCAGCTGCAGCGAAACTATAATTCACGAGTACTATATATTACTTACAAGAACTTGATTTTGATCGGTCTGTTTACATGTATGCTTTAGATTACACAGTTGCCTTAAGCAATAAAACATGAAATGACGAAAGTTTTCCATACAAACACTTGATTCCGATCGTTCAGTTTGTATAAGCAACAATCCGGTATTGGCGGTTCCGACAAATAAACAGCTTCTTGAGGAGAAAAGGACGTGTGCAAAATTTCGAAATTTAAAATTTTTCGAAAAATCGACTCAGTTCGTCATGCCGATTATTTATATATATTATAAAATATATATTTTATAGGATCTTCGACTTTTTCTTCTGGGTGTTACAACTTACTTGGCAAACTTAATTTACCCTGCTTAGGGTATAATAAGGTAAAACTTTCACTTATGCCGCATTGAAGCTATAATACACTTCACAGGAGCATTTATTATAGCTTACACGGGTAGACAAAGGTATTATGTATATTTCGACCGGTCGTGCATGCTGATTTGATAGCATTTCACAACTTATAATAACGATTTTAGATCTTCAGCGTGCTGCCACCAACGATAGTCTAAGATGGAACTTACCGCATTTATTTGGAATCAAATATAGTACAAGCTCATCCATTCAGCTACGTGTAATGAAGTTGTCAGAGGAACGATTTATTCAAACCAGGAAATACAAATTTAAGGCATCCTCTTTCTCTCTCTCTCTTTTGAGAGACCTAGCATCTCGCTGCTGCGTCCGGTCAAGACAACGAATGGAATTGTATTTTGACTTTATATATTTTGATTTTATTATATGGTAGCTATCAAATGAAACAGCTCGTCGTTTGTTATAGTATGTGTGTATATAATTGCTGTACTTTATTCACTTGTATTTATTATTACATATTAATACATATATGTATGTATATTTGTAGTTTCCATTTGATCTGCATTGGATGAAAGAATATTTTCTGTATATACTATGTATGTATGTATGCATGGTATGTAATACATTTCCGAACAGTTTACACCTGTGCATGAGTATAAGTATTCGCTATATATAGACGTACAATACTTGTATGATAAAATTCATTGGGTAAATCAAACACTTTTCGCCCTTCTTTTGCGTTAGTCTGTGGTATAAATGTTTTCATTTTTTATATATGTATATATATGGTATGTACGTGACTTTAAATGAGTAGCTTTTCGGTATGTAACAATTTAAAATGTTTTTTGTTTTTTGCTAAAATGTTTATCTAAATATATACACATACAAACACAAATAACAACATGAATTTGTATGTGCTTATGTATGCAAGTATACGAATTTATGGCTAGATATATGTGTACGTACATATGTTTCCATTTAACTATAAATTTACCCAATTTCATCATAATATTATTTATTGTTACTTCGAAAAAGTGGAAATCTATGTGGAGTTGGTTGTTGAAACTAGCTTTTTACAGTAGCTTGGAAAACACATTCGGTTTATTTTTAAACAATATGTCAAATTTTAATATTTATTTGAGTTTCTTTGTGGGTTTGTGGATAAAAAAATTGGAGGGATTTGTATGCTATATTTCAGTTAGAATTTAGTAACAATTGTATACAAATATACATAAATGTTTGTATGCATGTTATGTATGTCTTTTTGCGGAGTTTTTACAGAAAATACAAAAAACTTATACATACAATTTTTTTTTAGTTATTCGTGATTATGAATGCATATGCATTAAAAGTATATATTCTAATACATTTATGATTATTAAAATTATTTACAAACATTTAATTGAATAAGTTCTAAATGCGGCAATTTTAGAAACTATTTAAGAGGGCAATAATAATATTTCTTTGTTTTTATTGTAAAAAATTTAGATAAATTAGCAAAGCACTCCACTCTTAGAGTTTTTTTTTACTGATATTATATATTAACAAATTATAATTCATTCGATTCTAACGCTTTATCGCTGTGTCAAGTTTGAAAATAAAAATAATAGTATTATAATATACATCATTCTCTAAAATGTATTAAATCATTATTACTTTAGTTAAATATAATAATTTAAGTACATAATAATGTAGACTTAAACAAATTAAATTTTAAGGGTACATATTAAATCAAGTTGATTTTACTTTCTTAATTCATTTCAACATTTTGCTTCTTATTAGTCACAACTTTTTTAAAATCTTACTTCTTACTCATCTTTTTTCTTAAATTTTCCATTTATTAGTTTAAAAAATCACTAGCAGTGTTAATTGTTGTTGTTGCTGATATCATACATATATGTATGTATATACATATGTATGTGTATACATTTATTAGAGCAGTTGTAATATCATATTATACCGTTGCACGAAATATAAATTTCAAATAAATTATGATTATTTTCAAAGAAAACAATTTTTTAAAGAAAAAAAACTCCGCTTTACAGTGTTCGACTTTAATTTCATATTTTGTGTATGAATTTCTTTTTACGGCTTTTGAAACCACGTTGAACAAACCAAACAAACTTGCTCACAAAGAGACATTCTTAGAAATTGGCCCAAAAGTGGTCAAACACCTTTTGATATGATACGTTGATAAATCGCTTTAATACTCCTTCATCTAATCACTAATCTACCAAATAACTTAGTCAAAATTTACACCAAAAATATGACGTTTCATTTAATTTCCAAAAAATTTGCAAAAAATTTTAATGAGAACAATATTCAAATAGTGAACAATACTCAAAATAAATAAATAAAAATTAAATATACTCGTACATTAATATCTATAAAATCTAAATTGAACCAACTCTTCACACAGCTGCCTTATGTAGGCAATTTGGTATAATATAATAGTATATACTTTTGTATGTATGTAAATATGTGCTACATTTTTATGTATAAACATATTTATTATCAGAATTTATGCTCTTTAATATAATTAAGCCCATTCATATGTATGTAGATACGAATATGTTGCACAACATATTTTTGTATTATGTACTTTTTAGCAATTAAATTTATTTTGTCGGTGTTTTAACAAACAGTACATTATAGTAAATATTTTTGATATTTAAGTATCGCCTGACACACCCTATCACTAAATTTGCACCACAACAAACCTTTAAGTAGAAAATTTTAATTATGCAAAGCACACTTTTCGGCGCACAAGCCAATTTGTATGTGGTTGGTTGTTAAAGATTTAGCCTTGTTGTTTTCTTTACCATTAGCGGCGCATACACAATTTTGTTGATCTTGTGCTGAACGTATTTAAATTATAATTTTTAATTTTTGCTGCTTAATTATTAATTTTAATCAGATAATTGTTTAATATTAGCAATTAAAACATTACTTGTACTTAAAACTACTTTTCGATTTTTCTTTTTCTATATATTAGTGTGTTGTTATTTAGTTCAGTTTGAAATTATTTTAATTCGGTTTTGTTTTTGTTTTATTTTAAGTTTATGTATACCTACATAATACTAGTTTTAATTATAATTAAGTTACCACCGCACGTTCCTGCCTACGATTTGTTCAATTTTGTTTGGTTTTGTTATATTTTTAGTTTGTTGTTGTTGTTTTTGGTTATCTGTTCGCATTGTGTTGTTATTTTCTTTTGTCTTTTGCTAATTTCAGTTACATAATTAATGAATTTTTGACTTGTTTGCTTTTAGATCACTGTTGTTGTGGCTGTTCTTGTTGTCTTTTTTGTTTTTGTTTTTTGTTCATTTATAGTTTTGCCTATGCGTTTGAGTTCGAATGGAGAATAACGAATTTTCGCAAAAGAGTTTTATAAGAAAATCTTTAATCGAACAAATGGAATATAATTATATGTGTTTATCTTATTCACCATCAATTATTAAATATATTTTTTTAATATGGAAAACATACTCTAAAGTGGGAGTAGCAGCTTGCTGGCGTACAAGTTAATAGATGGTAATAAACTTTATTGGCAGACATTGGGTGTTGCTAGATATGTATATATGTATTAATGTATGTATGTGTGTTAATATGTATATGTGTGCAAGTATTAGTTGTATTTAAATTAAAATAAATTGTTTTAAGCGCATTCAAACATATATAAATCATACTTATACATAATATATGTATGTGTAAAATATATAATAAAAATATCATATACATATGTATGTACCTATCAGCATAAAAAAGTTAAATCATTTTTATAAATCCATAAAAGCAAATATTACTAATAATATTTCCTTAACTTTTAAATAAAACCAATAATATATTCGAAATAAATAATATATTCGATCAAACAGTTTTTTATTCAACTTTCTTTATATTACAGGCAAACAAAATATTTTAAATAAAAAGCAATATATTTAAATAGTAAAGTAATTAGGGTTATAGGCCAGTGAATAGGAATATAACGGTTATATATTTCAAATTTGCAATGTTAATATTCGTTGTTGCTGTGGTACAAAATAACTTAAAAAAAATAAAAATGCAATTCTGGGAAAGTGCAAATAAATACAGTTTCTAAGACATAAAAGAAATTATTAAAACAAAACACGTTTTATAACATGGCCCAGTGTCTGTTGTAGATTGTATTGTTTATTTATTTCTCCTCAAAATTTTAATAATGAATATTAACACTGCAAATATAACTTAAATATTACAAAAAATAAACTTTCGTAACAAGTCTTTAGTCAGTGCGTTAGGACATTTCATTTGTAAAGATGAAGATACTTAAAAAATATATATAGAATAATTAATCAGGTAAATTGTAAAAATTATACAAATAAATTAGCAGTAAATGTAGTTTAAATATTTTGTGTTTTTTTGTTTTGCTGATATGTTTTCTTTGCATTTAACGTTATAACAGTAACAAATATTTGTAAATTGTCTGTCGAACAAATATGTCTTTCTGAAGCATTGAGAGATATATGGAAAAGGTGAAAGAGGTTTTATGCTTCAAATTTTGGGGTTATTAACATGTTCATTGCTTCAAATATTTTCTCGCTTCATAAAAGTTTATTTTTAACATATATTTGTGTAAACAGACACGATTTAAGATAATATATTTATATATATCAATAGTAGCGGCCATGTGTAGGCAAAAACAATTCAACAGGTTTAATTAAATCAGACATAATTAGTATAATTATATAATAATTTGCTTAATAATTACAGGAAAAAATGTACAAATTCGAATTATGGAACAAAATAATATGAACAACATAATAAACAATATTAATTAAATATATATTTATGTACTTGATTATATGTTTTTCGTGTAATACAATTGGTGTGTGTGCATTTTAATTTTTATTTTTCAACGCTATTTTATATTGCCAATAGAATTTCACATACGCTGCTTGCTTTTTTTTTCTCTTTTGCATTTCAACTGCTTAAATTATTAATTTGTAAACGTATACATGCACATAAGTGAGGATTGTTGGCAAAACAATGGGCTTTGCCTTTAAATACATGATAAGTTTAATATTTTTAATCGTTTTCATAATTTTTGCTTCAGAACTTTTCCATTTACAGCTTGAGGCATAAAAACGCTAACTAGGATTATCTGGTTCGATATAATTTCCACAGATATGTCAACACTTTTGAGCAAATATTACGCAACAAATAAAACAATTATTAAATACGAGTATCAATTCGAGACTTATACGAGGTTGTTTGAAGACTTTGAGGAAAAAATAAACATTTCGAGTTTTTGTAAAAATGCGGCGAAATATACGCAACTACCTACAAATTGACGGTTTTAATAAAGCGATAATAAAATATATCAGTATGTAAATGTGTGTATAAAGAAATGTTAAGGTACATTTTGAACACGGACTGATTGGCAGACTAACACTTAAGCATGATCAGCAGGAGTGTGAATTGTAGTATAGAAAACCATTTTTGCTGTTTTTTTCGAATTAGAAATAATTTAAAATTAAATCCATAACCATATAAGCTAGCAATGAGTCCTTTTGGCATATACTAAGTGTTAATTTATGTGTACATGAAATCAATTGATGTATGTATGTATATCTAGTTTTAGTTGGAAGGCGCATGTATGCACACACTTTGCTCTATTGTATCTATGGATGACCAAAGCTGCATGATATTACTTTTATTTTATGGCAAAGTCTTGTATATATGTTTGTAAAACCAAAAACAACAAGTTTCCTTGTTCGTCATAATTTCTATAGCTGCCTGGTAATACTTCGGTATGCATTTATGTATGATGGTGGTATATATATGTGAGTGTTGGTGTTTTTGTGTTAAAGTGTATGTATGTATGCATGTATTCGCATTGCTTGTAACTTTATGGTTCGGTTCACGTATTTATATGTGGAGTTGATTTTAAATTGGTAGGTTCATGAGCGTGATTTTATATTAATTTTCAAGATCATTATGCTTATATGCAATTTAAATGTTTGATTTTCTTTTTAATAATGCGTTTTAGCTCGACTTTTTAATGTGGTTAGCTTGTTTTCTACAATTTTATTACGCTTATATTTAGTTTGAATTTCTTACATACATCGTACGATTCATATTAATTTACATTACCTTTTTTTTTTTTTTTTTTTTTTTTTTTTTTTTTTTTTTTTTTTTTATTTTTTTTTTTTTTTTTTTTTTTTTTTTGTGGAGTTCACATCGATGTTGTTGTTGAAACAATAAATAAAAAAAATTGTTGAGGAAATGTTTAGGCTTTTAGGTTAAGTGATTTTGTCAGCAAAGTTACATAGGGAAGGACATCTACATATTATATATAGTAGATATATGAGTATGTGCTTATGTACATGAAAATAATGAAAATTGTGTGGATACTTGTGTATTTGTATAATGATTATGCACGTCGAATATATATGTAAATATATGTAGATATATGTTTGTAGGTATATACGTATACAATACTAAATGGTTAAATACGATCACCATGAATACATGAATACTATTTGCTTTTTGTAATAGGTATGTTAAAATTGTTTTCTAAAATGCTTTCACCCAAATACATGACAATTGTATGAATGTGTAAGTGTATATGTGTGCATTTGAGTATGTTTATGTATTTTGGATTATGGGTTTTCACCTTTACTGTCAATATGCTGGAGAAGTAGTGTATATTTCATTTTAGAACATATGTATTTTTACATTACACGGACAAATAAGCAACATATTTATATATGATGCAACCTTGACTGGCTTCCTGTTGCTTAATTCTGCTCAATGCTTTCTTATTTCGCGTTGAGTTTGAGATGTGAAAAGTATGCATGTTTTGGCTCAACAGGTTCCCATAATTTCCTTTTATGAATGTATGAGTGTTGTGGTTATTGTTTGTATGTATGTGTGTTGGTAATTAATTTGAATTTTTGGTGTTGACGTCATTTCAAGTTGTTTTTCTACTTTTCACTTTGTTTACATTATAAATATAGTATTTTGGTTATCGGCAATGATGACAGACAGTTTTACACATTTCGTTTTTAAGTTCTTTGATTTCTTTGTGTGTTATATAATTGTTTGGCTCTCGTTTTTGCTTTTGTTTCATCTCTTATTGGATGCTGTGTTGTTCTTGTAATAGTAGTAGTTAGTAGTATTATATCATTAGAAATCGCATATTTACTTAAATATCTAAAGAACGACGTCAGGCAGGTCGTGCGGCCTGGCCTAGGCGCGCATTTGGTTATCATGTACAATTTTTCTCTCCTTATAATAGATCTCTTCCGACTCTTTATCGCAAAGCAGGAGCACAACGGCACCGAATAGAAAGATGGCTGCACCCCAGCCAACTCCGTAGGCCCAACCAAATTCCCAAATTGGCCGATTCGCTGTAAAAGAAAGTAGTAAATGAGCAAATCATATGCATATGTACAATATATAATAGTAAAAATTATTATTTACCCAGATTGAGTTCTCCAGCAAAACATACTGGATATATTATAAGTGCAGACAATACAGCCAGTACTAAAAAGATAAAATTATTTTAAATATGATGACTATTACATTTGCTATATTTTAATTTTGTAAAACCCGGCAGAAAACGTCGAATACCCTATAAAATCTGTATATAAAAGTTCCAGTCAATTAGTTTTACAGATATCGATCTGAAGTTTTGCGCACATCCTTTTCTTATCAAGAAGCTGCTCATTTGTACAAACTGAGCGATCAAAATCAAGTCCTATATTGAAAACTCTTTTATTTGACAAGATATTTTCACGGCATGGATTATAATTAAAGGCAATGGTTTAATCTGCAAAAAAGTTGTCCCTATAGGTGCCATACAATCAAAATTAGTAAGAAAATTGTTTAATTTGAGAAGTATATTAGACCTTTGGTGCAACCGAACAAAAACAACGTTTACCGTTCCCACAACAGTCTACGTAACCAGAACGGACCAAGTTTTTTTACCCAGTCAAGGACTGTCAACTCGGCAGAATTCTGACACTACAACAACAACTTTAACGTGTCTTGTTAATTTTATATTCTAAACGTGTAAAAATACACCATACTTTTTTTATTTGATTTTATCTTTGATTTTTTCGAACAATCACTATTGCAAAATTAAGGATTTCAAATTTGTTTAAGGTTTATGTTATGTATTCAAAACTTACATGATAAAAGCATCACTAGCACAGCAATTCTGTAAAATTTGTATTTTACATTATGGTTTTGCGTTCTCAAACCCAGTCCAGTGAGTATGGTGGCAATTACGTCTGTGATCAATGTTATTATGCAAAGAGCAGCTGTGGCCTTAATGTATGCTAAAATTCAATAAACAACATTACTTAAAAATCATGTAATTACAAATACAATAAACAAAGAAGCGACTTACCGACGTCTCGACTAGCATAACAGCCAGGCGGATCATGTAAATTAAATGGTAGCGGTGATTCAACGTCTTCCTCAATACAATGCACGAAGAGACCCTGTCGCCAACCCGCAGCCATTAACCAATCCGTGGAAGCCAATGCCATAATCATGAGTATAACAACAATAACACCGCATATAAATGCAATAACCTATTATTGAAAAGAAAAATTGTTACTTTTCAGAAAAATGTAACAATTTTACACGAACCTTAAGAGGTCTTGTGATTGTGATGGTTTCTATAGTTGTTGTTGGTGCCATTTTTGTTGGTGAAGGGCGTTGTGAACTGGACGTAGAAAAATTTTAATCGAAATCTTTTATAAAATATAACATATGTATATTTATATTTAAATAATGTAACGTTTTTTTTTTTAGAAGGAAATATTCAAGATGTCTAACACTGGGTTTGTGAAACGTTTAATACGTACCTTTAAATTTAAATATTTTTGTATTTGTTAGTAGCAGGGAATTAGTGCGCTCTTCTAACAACAATAACAACGCAAGCGCAATAAAACAACGGAAGTTCGCATGAGATACTTTGGCTTACCCACTTTTGGGAAATAAAACTTGTATTAGTTTATCTGATGATGATGCAAATTACTGCACCTTATTTTTATTAACGGCTCGTACACTCGAATGGTTTTGGTCAGATGGTATTGTGATTTGTGTTTATATTTGTTTAAAATGCATATAAATTGCTTTTAAGCTGCATAAAATCTATTAATTATATTGGAAGAGAAAATTTAAAAACATATACATTCTATTAGTATAGGTAAGGATGGAAATTGGAAATAAAATTTAAATTTGACGACACATATGAACATACATATATGACATATCATGCTATAAATATAGTCTCAGCACACACAAATAAAATTTTATAGTTCTAATATAAAAACGAAGAAACTTATGCACGAGAGAAATAATTTTTAAAATCATACCAATTATATATACCCATTACGGTACGGATACGCGATTTTTCTGTTTTTTTCCACACGTTTTAACCTACATATGTAACCGACATTTTAAAAATATACTTTACCTATTAATTTAAAGGCATATGTTAACAATTACGGTAAAATTATTTCGCTGTATACTTATAGTTACTTTAAAAAGGAATTAGTTGGCTTTTATTCAAAGCTTAATCGACATTGAATGATCTTTTGAACGAATTTACATACTTTCCCACACATGAATCCTTAAATATAACTGTTGAACGACCCAAAAACTTACTAATTTAACTATATACATAAATTATTTAATATTTCCAAGTTTTCGACATCTTACTAAACGATCCATAGCTATTTTCAACATCATATTAATGTATATATGAGTACATAGATAGACTCATAAATATTTTTGATTTATTTAGAGTGATTATTATTTTTACGAAATAACTTAATTTATCGAAATTAAACAAAAAGAAAGCACATGCATGCTTGTTTTTGTGCAATAATAACAAGCAAAACTTAAGAAAAAGTAGCAATACAAATTTTTGTAACAAAAGTGGCACAAATTAAAAATGCAAACTTCTCGCAAATAAGAAACAAAACAATGAAAAAGTTAATGTAGGTTCCGATGAGAGGCACATAATGTATATAAATAACGAAAATATATATTCAGCACATATATATTGCCTTGTAATTTTAGGCATTTATGTATACATATTAATAGTTAGATGTTGACAGTAATATCAAGTAGCCAAAAGGGTTGTGGTATAGAAAATTACGATTTATTCGAAAATTTCTTTGATTTTGAAAATACCTTTCTTTAAAGTAATCCATAGTAACCGATTCTGTATCAAATTCTGAGCAGTCGGCTAAAGAATCACTGTCGAAAGAACTGAATCCACTTATATTTATATTTGCAATTGCATTATTGCTGAAAACTAATTGTTGTTGTTGTTGTTGTTTCAGCTGCGACTGTTGCTGAGCCAACTTGTCCCCACTATCGGTTCTGCTATACATTCTCGCTTGCATACACTAATCGGTATTCATTAATATTTAGCTACTCAAAATAGTTTCATCAGTTCACTTGACACTAGAAAAATTTCGCAATTTAAAATTATTTATATTTAACACCCACAGAAAGCGCCCAATTCTGTTTAAATTGGTTTTTCTTTTTAGGCTCGATTTCCACTTTTTCGTGCCTACCTTGATACACATATTAGTTTACACACGCACACACCAAAATGGCGACAAATCTCTTCCAAATCGTTGCTGCTAAATGTCGTTTCTTGACTTCACCAAAATTAATTGTTCCTTACATTTTAAATATATTCACACGTTGACCAACAATTTGTCAAGTGAAATGCAAATGTAAATAAAAATTAAATTATAAAAAATTTACGCTTTTTTGCTCTCGCGATCGCACATAAACAATAGCCTTCGTTTTCTTCGAGAAAAATTTCCACTTTGCTTTTTTGACTGTTTCTTCTTCGAATTCGCCGCAAAAATCTAATGAAGGGCTGCATTTGCAGAAAGTGGTTGTAAAATAATTGCAAATACTGTTCATGCCAAATTTGATGTAAGTACTTTGATTTAACGTTTGAAATTCAGATATAAATTTGTGTTACTTTTCACACAATAATAATTCCTTGGTTTTTTGGACTTGACTCTGAACTGAATATAATATATAACATGATTTATTTAAATTTGATGTGGCAATTTCATTTCGCCGCTGTTTTAAATTTATGTTCTCGACAGCTGTCAGTTGTTCCAATCGCAGACGTCAACAAATCAAACATTTCTGCCGTGTGCATATATGTGTAGTTGTTTTTCATTTTGTTTGCATCAAAAACGTTTCTAAAACCAAAGTTTTAATGGTATTAAAATCGAGATATTTATGAAAAATCGAAAAGAAATTTCATAAGGTTTATTGACCAACCAAGACAAAAATGGAGACCACTTCTGAAACAGCTAGTCGATTGCGGTCAGGTGGAGTTGGTGAGGAGTACATGCAATGTCCTACTTGTGAATGCAAATTACAGCATTGGGAAGTAAAGACACATTTCGAACAGGAAATGGAGCGTTTAAGAAATTTGCAAATGAAAGTGGTTAGAGAAGCAAGCGCCGAACTGTCACAGCAAGGCGCCAGCAATACATTGGCACATAGTGAAGAACGACGTAAACCTTGGACAATATTTCAACGAGTTCAACGAAATCGTCACTCACGCATAAGGGTTTGTTTATTTATTATAAGCTTATATTAAAATTTTAATAATATTCTATCTTTAGCGAAGAACTGGTAAACGAGTAGCACCTACAACCGATCACCAATGCCCTGTTTGTAATGTAAGTTTCTCACTAGAGGAAATTCAACAACATGCTGAGCAATGTTTACGTCGAAGTAATGGGACAACCAATGGTCGTGATGGAGGCAGTTCAAGCAACGAAGACGACGATGGAGAGGAGTACGAAGAATATGAATGGGCCGGGCAAAAGCGAGTACGTGTTTCAAGCATGCTGCAAGGTGGTTATGCTGCGATTGGTATAGGTCAAACTGTTACAAATACTGGAAGTAGTGGTAGTCATAATTCCACTCATGGTGGTGACGAAGAAGAAGAAGATTTAAATGTAGATGAAGATGATACACAAATTTACGGACCGGCTCAATATGCAGAGGCTGATGTTATACCACCAATAGCTGAGCAAAATGGTAATAGTGCCGATAGTGATGTAACTAACTACATGCGACGGCTAATAACTTGTTCTGAAGGAACAACTTTACACAATAGCGTGGAAGAACTGCGTCGCACATGCGTAGATATTGTGGTAGCTACAAATACCGATATACGCATTCCGCAGGTTGTTGAATCCACAGGACATCAAGACCCCATCAAAAATAAATTGCCTGACAATGAACAACAAAACTACCCGCAGATAATTGAATCATTGAAAATGAAATTACGACATTTTGAAAATCAATCCCAAAATAAATTCAAATGTCTAATTTGTTTAGATGATTATAAAAATCCAGCTATTTCGGTTGCATGCTGGCACGTACATTGTGAGGAGTGCTGGCTGCGTTCGTTGGGAGCCCGAAAACTTTGCCCACAATGCAATTTGATTACGACGCCAAAGGATTTGCGCCGAATTTATATGTAAATGAGTAAAAGTAACAAATATTATAAACTTTTAAGGTATAAAACTTTCGACTATAGTTTTTTTTCCAAAATTATTTAATTTAATTACTTGATACATATACCATCACAATTATTATTCCGCACATTTTTATATATTACTTTCTCTAGTATTGAATGTAAGTAAGGAGAAGAAATACTGATGAAACATTGCAATTAATTTAAGTATAATAAGAACTAAAGCTGTGTCACAGGTAAAATAAAAATACAATAAAAAGACATTATTTAGCTATCAGAAGCTAAAATATTCAAACAGATATGATTATTGCCTATATTACTCCTGTCGATGTACGATCTTATATATATACATATATATTTATATACATATATATAATTTTTTTATAACTTTATAAAAGAAAAACCGATATGTACATAGGAGAGCTCCAGCATAGCATTCGAAACTTCCCTCGTTGTTTTGGAAGGTAAATATCAGTTTTTGTCGTAAGCCGGCATTTGTCGAATACGGTAAAAACAAAAATATGCAATCCTTAAATGCAATGAAATGTGTTTTTTTCTGTTTTGCGTTCGTCGCTTTTGACTTTTTCTTCCGTTCGTAAATATTTACGCAACGGTGCCACTGGTACGCAGGTGAGTATTTACTTCAGCAGATGTCAAGGCGTTATATACATATGTATGTAAATAGATTATTTGACTTTATTACTATTTTATTTTATAAGCAATTTTTATTCGATAGGTTAATTTATCATAATTAATCATAACCATTAAAAATTTCAAAATATGTTATCAAATATTTTGTACAATGCTTTCCCATAGGTTGATTGTCTTTGATAAATGTGTTATCGTTATTAAAAATTTTATTCTTAAATGTGTATTCTATAATTTGAAATTTCAATTGTTTATATTCCGCCGACGAAAATCAAAATATCAGCGTCATTCACTTTTGACATCTCGCTCAGCTGTTTCTGAGTCGCCGTCTTTCTTATAACGCCGCCGTCCAAGTTAGTAAACACCCGGCAACATAGTATGTACTTTGACAACGCGGAGTTCAGTATAGCTTCGGAATCGGTAATAAAAACAAATAGAGAATTTATATTTCTGTTACATTTTGATGGATTTTTGTTTGGAAACATTTAATTTAGTGCATGTGCAAAGTGTAATTGATAAGTGAATTGAAATAAATGCAAATAGTAAGTTCTAATACGTTGAATAGGTCACTAGGCAAAGTGGAGGAGTGTGTTTGTAGAAGAAACGGAAATGGTTAAAAACTGCTGGAGGAGATAAAAGAAGAGCGAGCAAAAGAACTGGCTAGAAACTCGYACAAAGAGGAGAAATGGAAAGCAAAGCGATAGTAAATAGCAATAAAAATAAATTTATACCTGTTAGTAGAGGAGGTGGAGGATCTGCCTGAGAAAGGTAACATCGAAGAAGGAATTGAAATTGACGCAATACGATGAAGAAGTGAGCGATAGCAAGTGAATGAAATGCTTGACGTACGGATGCAAAAGAATCGCACAATTCACTATTCAATTGAAGGCATACGTACCAACGAAAAAAATGGTTTATGCGGGAAAATAAGAGAAAATACATTGCAAAATATAAATGAATAAAGAGTTAGATTATTATAAAAACACGCAAAGTCAATTCAACGAAAAAGGAGCCAGTGGAGTGGCTGAGCATTAATGCAGTGCAGTATCGTGTCGCCGTATCTGTGTATGATTGGGCGTGTTTAAGTGTTTGTGCACCCGAGAATACGGCAAAGGCAAAAGTGAAAACTTGCTTTTTTGTCGTTGACGTTGCTGCCATCATCGTTGGTCGTTGTCGTCGTTGTATTTTCGCATATTTCGCGACGGCAAAACTACGAGTGTATTTCGCTAAATAACCAGCCAACCAACCAAATAGCCAGCCAGCCAGTTTTGGCCGCGGCTTTGTATTCGGCAATAAAAAATAAAGTTAAATTCCTGGAACTCGAATTTGCGAAATTGAAAGGCGCGCGCGTGTTTTTCGCATACTTAAACATAAAAACTTTAAGAGGATATTTGGGAACGTTTGAATCCGACTTGAAAATACATAAAATACAAGTGTTTAAAAAGATTTTAAGGTGCTGCTGGCCAGTGAATTGGAAACGGTCCAAAGATATATTTGCACCGAGGGGGGCCTTTCGACCAACCGTCGCATTTGCCACCGCATCGCTAAACCACAGAGGCGGGATTATGTCATTTTACATGTGTTTGTGTATATGTTTAAAATTCCAACTAATTAATAAATGGAAAAGTTATAAAGCGCCACAACGAATCAGTTTCGTGAATTACATACATATTTTTTTTTATGAAAGTGCTTAACTACAGACATGTGTGTAGAAAGTATTGCGAGAATGTAGCTAAAACGAGAAAAGTAATCAACTACTTTCAAATCAAAATAAGTTATAGTGCAAAAGATCTGCATTTAGAAAATGTTTTCAGTGAAATTGCGTCGCAATTCAGTCGCGAGCGATGCAGTCCTTCGTAAAAATTCCCACATTAGAAAAAGCAGTAAGAAATTTAACAAAACGAAATTTTGCGACGGCAAATCACGAAAGCAAGCACGTTGTTTTCAGTTTGTTGATTTGTCAAGCAACCTTAAAAGTTAGAAGATCGAAAACCAGAAAATAATAAATAATTATAGAATTATTGTTAGTGATCGCAATTAAATGGCAACATTCAATGGTCATAGCACCTCCACCGCTACGGATTTGTTGGGATCCTCGGTTGCCGTCGCTGCTGCCACAGAGCATTTTGAACGCAGCACTGCTGCGGCTACTACAACGTTTCTGCTACCCTCCACGGCGACGGCAAATGGAGCGCCGTTGCATTTAGAGCCTTTTAGTCTTGCTGGTGGTCCACATTTTGTCACAACAACTACATCACCATTAAGTGGTGCAAATGCTGGCCATCATCATCATCCACATCAACAACAACAACAACATCACCACCATCAACAAACCAATTCCACTTCAACTAGTTATACATTCGTACAAATTAAACGCGAACCTTGCCAAGTTTCGGAGGTTACCTCTGCTAATTGCCATCAAACACAACAGCAACAGCATCACCAGCAGCATCACGTGTCTACATCATCGACAGGTGGCAGTGGCATTGGTATTGGAGTTGGCTTGGGTGTTGGTGTAGCCTCATCAACATCGAGCTGTTCGGCTTCCATATCAGCGGCTTCCAAAACAATGTCATCGTCGTCAACGCTAACAACGCTAGTGAAGATTGAGGCTTCCTCACCGAAGGTGAATGAAATGGATAAAACACCAACTGTGAATACACTTGCCGCAGCGCCAACAATGACTAACACAAGTATGTTAATTCATAGAAAAAAAATATAACCTGCATTACACTATTCAAATTTACTCAGTCATCCATACCTATGCTCACAGTATGTATGGTGTGTATGTATAAATAATACATTAATGACTTTAACTTCTTTTTCGTTATTTGTTTTTGTGGTATTTTTTTAACGACATTGTTTGACTTAGGTGGTTAACTTGCTATTTTCGATTCTTTGTTTATAGATAATACGGTGCCTATTGGCATTGCCGTGGCGCGTAAACGACCACAAGAAACGGCGGGCACACTCTCTAATGCTGCACCGATTCCAATGCAGCAAACGCTTAATAAGGATATGAATTGCTTTGGTATACGCGTAGCGGATTTAGGTAAGTTATACGTGCGAGAATAACTATAGGTTTGTTAAGTTCGCATTATTGCAGCTTTAAAAATTGGTTAACTTTATGCTTAAGGTATATAAAACAAAGAAAGAGATTTCAAAGAAAATCATAATATTGACTTTAAAAACATTAATTCTCAAAGTAGCACTTAAATGGTTTTTTTTTTTGGTTATACAATATACGAAAGGTTGTTAAATACTTATATATAATAAATAATAATATTAGTGAAGCTAGAATGAAGCGTATACACCCTTAATTTTGTTGTTTTATTCAATGTACAATAAATATTTTAAACAATGTGAAAGGGTTAAGGGATTTTAGTTATGCGGGCTGACTTTCGCATAGAAAAACATAAAAATGTCCACGATTCGTAGTCGACGTCTTTTAAGTGAGGGTCTCTTACGATATTTACAAAGCATATGGTACAGTGGTGATGCCATAAATAGAATACCTTGATATTGCAATTTCAACATTCAAAACGAATTACACACAAAATAATATAGGGTGCGCTTTTTATAGTAATAATAATTTGTATACTGTGTTAAAATAATATTAGACCTATTTTTTTATTTTATTTAGGCCGGAAAGCAATCTTAATTATGTAATATTAAATATATATATCTTTCATCTGTTGGATACTGTTACCTTTTCGGCTAAAGGCCGAAGGCTAAGCTAAATAAAATATAAAACTTTTTATTTAATTCAGAAATTCTTTTATTTAAACTGGTTAAAAAAGACCAGAAAAGCGGTGGCGAACTCAATGATAGCGAATAAAATTAGTTTATGCAATATGAAATCAGTTTATGTGAATAAAGTAAAAGTTATATACAACAAATTATTTCGTATTTTTCAAAATTGATGTTAAAAAAATCATCACATTGTAGAGCGGTATTTGAAAAATGTTTTGATGTTAAAGTTTCCTACTAAAAGTATCCAGAAATAATAATTTAATCGATTTTTCGTGAAATAATTTACTATGCGGTAATTATAAGGTTTCAGTTTCACAGTAAAGATTTCAGAATTTAAGAGAAGTATGCTATTTTCGTGATCACTACTGTACGCATTCTTATATTTTTCTTTTATTTTGTCACTTCAAGTGGCCTTCTGACGGTTTACCCCATACACAACATTCACAACAACAAATTTATGTATGTATGTATGTACCACCCTCTTCTTGTTTTTGATTTAGTCAAAAAATGTATACTTTAACTTTTATTATTAATTTCGACTACAATCTTTGCGACATAATGCCTACGCATAAATTTATAATGGTGGTTGAATGGAACGGAAATGGAGTGAGGGCTTGGCCGGATGGTGGAAACAGAAAGTATAGAGGTTTACA